TTTTATATTGGGGATTGTTGTCCAGGACCCCAAAAGAAACTCTCCTCTGTTTTTGAGCTCCAAGTCGCTACCACTTGAGAAGGGCACTATATAAGTACAAGTTGTTGATGTTGTTGAATAGTGCCTGGGATCTTTAACGTACACCAAACAGGCATAGATAGGACCTTGGTTTAATGTGGAGTCCTGAAGTTCAGTGGTTAGAGCACTCGCCTTGCAAGCGAAATGCCTGGGTTCAATTCCCAGCAGGGTGAAACCTTGAGCAAGTTTCCTTACTCCACACAGAGCCTAATAATAATCCCTCCAAAACCAAAAACAATAATAAATTGGTCAGTTTCAATCCACCACTGTTTGTGGGAGACTGCTGTGCGCAATTGGCTGCCGCGTTTCGCCCACAAATATACGGTCAATTCACTTTATAGTCTATTCTGTGAAGCGCTTTGAGATGTCGAGAAGACGTGAAAAGCGCTATATCAAATGCAAGGATTATTATTATTATCCAAAGGATGGCACCTTTTTCAGTACATTGGAGTGTCAGCTTAGACTGTCAGTTCAAAGGCCTGACATGGACTTCAACCTAGCTATTAGTCTAGCTGAGTTAGTAGCATAATAGTTAGTAGGCCGTTTAACTCACGTCCAAGATGACACTTCAACACAGTGCTAGATTGTTAGAGGTGCTGTCCTTCAGATAAGACATTAAACCGAGGACCAACCTGCCTTTCATGTGGATGTTAAAGGCCATGGCACTACTCAAAAAGAGAAAGAGCTCCTCCCAAAATCCTGGCCAACAACCCACATCCCCCCCAACCCCCACCCGATGCAGAATTGATCTTCCACTTCATGGCAGTTTGTGGGACATTGTTGTGTAAAAGAAAATTGACTGCCATATTTGCTTTGATACTGTATTCTGCGTGAAGGTCGCTATTTAAATGCAAGATGCTGTTGTTGCTGCCTCCAATATACAGTCACTACACAGTCTAATCTGTGCCCTGCCGAGAGCGGGGTCCAGATTCTATCTCATAACCCGCTCTGATGTTGATTATTTTCAGTTTTACTGTGTCAGCATGTGTAGTATAGTTATCCTTATGTGTCATCCGCTGTAATTTAGTCGTTTATAAGGCATTTAAAATGGTTCAAGAGTTGAATTGAGAGGTACAGTCAGAGAGAGAGAGACCGGAAGACAAACACTGGCTGTGACCTCACTGTAGACGAGCTGATGAAATCTCTGAGCGAGTGTAGACAAAAAAAACAACACCTTTCATTTGCTTTCCAAGTGAAAGCTTTCCTTGTGGGAATTACCACAATGTCTCCTCGTTTTCCTCTCGGCGGCTTGGCTGATGCTGTCAGACACTCACTCATTAAACCTGTCACGCGTTTTACAACTAAGTTGTTTGTGGGGTAATAGACTTAGCTTTGAAAGACATGACTATACAATACTGCTTCTTCCAGCCACAAGCAAGGAAGATTACGACTAAAAGTGCTGGAGCTCTCCCCTCTATTGTTGCGGAGTTTTAGCTGCAATAATGTAATTGTCCCACAAATTTTTCTACACTGCCCGCCCCTCTAGTCCTTTGTTAGGTAAAGGTATCAAGGAATATGGAGCAAAGGCAGGTTATTGGAGCCGAGGTATAGATCAGCCATGATCTAATAGAATGACGGAAGAGGCTCGAGGGGCTGAATTGTCTACTCCTGTTCCTATACCTTTCCTTTTACTCCCTCAGCTTGTTGTAAACAGGAGACCATTAAACAATTGTTGCTCTGACAGACAGAGAAAAATACTGGGCAGGGGGTTAGGGGTAGGAGGGTGACCAAAGGTGCAGGTCAAAGGGGTCTCGAGATGTGCCTTGAAGGAGGCAAGGGAGGGGTCGAGGAGAAGGGACTGTGGGATGGTTCCAAAGGGTGGAGGCAGAGAGGCTGAAAGCCCGAATGCTGATGGTGGAGCGGGCCAGGTGGGGACATGGAACAGGCCAGAGCCCGCTGAGGGGAGGTGAAGATGAGCCTGAAGCCAAAACCAGATGATAGACGAGTTGTGTCAGCCCAGAGCGTTTCCTCACACTGTCAATGGCCTCAGGCCCTGAAATCTTCCTGCCCAGAGTGACCTACAATGCAACATTTGGCAGGGAGCAGCCGCCTTTCAGTAACTAGAGCCTCATTCACTGACGGTCAGTGACAAAAAGAATTACTCAAAAAAATATATAGCAGCTCTGCCAAGCCTTGTTTCGTAACCAGTCTCCCTGTGGGTCATTCCTATCTCAACAGTGCAATCCTACCAGATTGCAAACATGTGTGAAATTTTGACTTTACATTTTTTACATCAATGGCACATGTTAAGCCAAACTTAAATCCCCTCAAATCCAAGTGGAGTTCTACATGGGAATAATGTACTAAAAAGAGGGAGGTTACATTTGACGAGGCTGGGATGGACTGGAAAATTCTGGTTTATTGTTAGCGTATGAAAAGGAGGGAGGATGAGTCTCTCAATGGAACCCCCTACCTTCGCTAACGTGCAATGCTTTGGTTAAGACATTGCAATGCGTCTTTAAGGAGACTTCATATTAAAAAACCTGCACCCAATATTACATTCATTTATCAGTTGAAAAACAAACATGTTGAGGTAACAATGCGACGTCTCATAACTGATTCAATGGGAGAACTGAATCTGTTAAGTGGAATTCTCAGTCTGGTTTGGATTCTATTAAGCTGGCGATGGGTTTCCGCAAGTTAGACGCTGGGCTCTCCATATCTTCTTCTTTTGTCTCCCCCCTCATGCCTAACATGCAGAAATAAACACTTGTATGCTCACACACACACACATACATACATAGGCACACTCACAGACAGACACACACACATATGTAGACGCACCCCCAGCTCTCAGTCATATTCTTTCCCACCTGGAGCTCTAAATAACAGAACTTGAATATTAAGTCAGGCTGGCATCCTATCCCAGCTTGTGAAGGGAATCCTCGCCAAGTCCATTCATAAATTTCCCTCCTCAAATCCCTTTGCCTTTCTCCTTTGTGGGCTGACTTCAAATCCTTCTTAAAAGCCTATCTCTTTGACCAACACTCTATACATTACTGCTCCTTCCAGACACAAACAAGGAAGATTATGGCTAAGAGTGCTGGAGCTCTCCCCTCTTATTGTTGCGGAGTTTTGGCTGCAATAATGTACTTGCCCCACAAATTCTCCTACACTGCCAAGTCTGCTTCCTCACTTCCCAGCTCGGTGCTCCCTATTGTCTCTCTGAAGCGCTTTGAGGCGTACATCCCACATGAACGACAAGTAAACGTTGCTGTTTCAGAGCTGTGTTCGGTTCCCTTGGCGATTCCTCAGGCCCTGCACACTGAGCATCCTTGTTCAGTGAATCACTAAAAACCTGGCTCAAATTTACTGAAAGAGGAGAGAGGGAGAGAGAGAGAAAGAGAGGACGAGGGGAAGGTCACATGCAGAAGCTCTTGATACCCTTTAGTCCCTTGAGATCTCAATAATTTTTGTTTTGGGGGGGGGGGGGGAAGGAGGGGGTCAGCCAGGTGTCTGACACATGCGGAAACCCATCACCGTGCTTAAGAGGATCCAAACCAGAATTCCATGCATCCCACCTACACTTGGAAATTCCAGAGATAGATTGTTGGAATGCACACTCTCCCCCTGAAGGGATGCATCAACAACAACAACAAGATTCCATTTATAGAGCGCCTTTCACGTCGGGAGGAGCATCCTGCTTATCCAATTCCCGAAAGTATTAGGCACTGGTTTGCAAGAGCCAATAAAGATCTCAATCAATGTTGCAGGATATTTCGCAACAACCTACTTCCCGTCCATACGCCCGCTTCACAGACCTGAACAGGCTGCTCAAACCTTATAGTAGGAGCCAGGCTTCCTGAAAGCCAAGTCCATCAACTACAATCAGATCAAAAGGACGCACTGTAGTATCTGTTCACGAGTCTCCTGGCTAACAATCCCTCACATACAATTGGTCATTCACTTCCCCTGGCTGTTTGTGGGACACTGTCGCGAGCAAATTGGCAGCAGCCATTGTTCAACTTACAAAATGCACAGTCACTACAATCTGCAGTAAACCTCCAAATCTCGGATTGCCCTGGACCTGACGGGTTTATACAACGCTATCTCATCCAAGCCAGTCCATCCCCAAAATAATTGCTTACCCCACTCCACCCCCCCCACACACACATCACACACACCTTAAAAAAAGGTTATTTTCGAGCACAGCCTCATTCCTAAGAACCACAAGAGACCGGCTGGTCAGACCTGATAAGGCAGACAACAGGGTCAGTGTGCAGACTGTATGTGGAGTGGATAGGGTTCTTAGTCTTGGGACGTCCTGCGGACACACTAGGCGCTATAGATAAATGTAAATCTGTATTGTACTGTAACACATTCCAGGGCAGGAATTGGAGACCACAGTGTATGTATATCATTCAGCCTGTAACACACACGCGCACACACACAGACACACAGTACATACGTACGTATGTATGTATGTATGTGTGTGTATGTGTGTGTGTATATCACTGAGCCTGTGACACACACCTCACACAGACACAGTGCCTACACAAGGACTTGAGAACTGCAAATAAAATTGCAAATTGCATATTACAATCTGAGGTTGGGGGAGAAATTGCAACACAAAAGGGTTTATTTTGTTGGTTGGTGGAGACAATAATTGCAACCCTCTCTCTCTCTCTCTCTCTGTATGTATGTATATGTATGTATGTGTATGCATGTATGTTCCTCTGCGTCTCTCTGTGTTGCTGTGTCTAACTGGGGGTCTGTCTGACTGCAGGGTTCAGTGGCTTGCGATGAAGAAACAAGGAACGAGCCTATGATGTGGGGCTGTCAGCACCTCGATCTCCCCCCCACCCCACCACCACCACCACCCCCAGTTGAGGGTTAATGCAAGGCAGGGGAAGCGAGGAGCTGAGAGGAGGGTGGGTGTGAGTGTAAAGGGGAGAGAGAGAGAGAGAGAGAGGGTGTCTTACCTGCAGTCTCTCGCTTGCAGGCTGCCACATCTCTGCACCCTGGATGGCTGTGGCTTGGGCTTTCTCTTGCAAAGTGGGGAGAGCTGCAAATCTCAAGCAATTGCCCACTGGTGGGGATGGTGGGGGGTGGGGGGGTCGGTTCACATGGGGCTCAAACAGGCTGGAGAATCAGCTGAAACCTTCACTGCTCTCTCTCTCTCTGTCTGTCTCCTCTCTCTCTGCTGCTGCTGCTGCTGCTGCAGAGATCCAAACCAGCCAGACCTCGCTTCCCATTCGCTTCCCTCTCCAACTCACTCACTCACTCACTCACTCACTCCCACCCCACACATGCCTGGGGAGGGGAGAAATTGCCCCCATCACACACACATACACAGACATCTGCTCCCCATATTTGCCAATTCCTGCCTGACCTTTTTCCTAAATTTGAATAGGGCTTAGAAACTTCACGCCTGCAATTGCTTGTTGCTTCCCAACCACCCCACCCGTTTATTAATGATAATAGCAATAATAATTCTTGCTGTTTGATGCAGCGTCTTATCACGTCGTGGAGACCTCCCAAAGCGCATCGCAGGATTCACTGTAAAGTGGAGTGACTGCGTATCTTGCGGGCGGAACACGGCAGCCAGTCCCGCGCCGCAATTATAATGATGATAATCCTTGCAGTTAATGTAGCGCCTTTTCACGTCGTCGAGATGTCTCAAAGTGCTTCACAGGACATACTGTAAAGTGGAGTGACTGTGTAATTTATGGGTGGAACCCCGCAGCAATGTCCCACAAACAGCAATGAGAGAAAGTGACCAATTTTATCTTCGGGGCGGGTTGGGGGGGGGGGGGGTGGTTGTTGCCCAGGACGCCGGGAGAGACAACCTCCCTTCTCTTCTCGAATAATACCATGGGATTTTTAATGTCCACCTCAACAGGTAGACAGGAACTCGGTTTAGGGCCTCATCTAAAGGACAGAACCTCCGACAATGCAATACTGCGTTGGAATGTCAGGTTAGACAATGTCATTCCAAATCCAGTCTACAGTGTGTATATCTTGTGAAGCGCTTTGAGATGTCTCAACGACGTAAAAAAGCAATATATCAAAGACAAGGATTGTTATTATTATTATTATTATCCTGCGCCGCTATTTGAGGAGAGAAAGATATTCTCCCGGTGGCGTTGCTTTGCACAAATTGGCTGCTGTGTTTGATCACAGATACACTTCACTGCAGAACCCCCAAGAAGCACTTTGAGATGTTAAAGCCACTGTACCAAATGCGAGTGTTATGATGTTGCCATATGAAGCTCCCTGGAGTAAAACAAAAGTTGGCTTTAATGCTTGTGTTGACGAAGTCTGCCGCTGGCGTGCTGAGTGCCAGTGTATCTGTACAGAACACAGGGCAGGGAAATGTGCAAGTTCCAGATCAACTCCCCGCAGATCAATAAACCTGAATTACGAGGCGATTAGTCCCTGCAACGTTCTCCACAGACATCAAAATGATACCACCCAGATACAAGGGAAGGTTTCTAATAACAATAAAACATTTTTTTTCTGTTTCTCTCTCCCCCTCCCTGCCTCTCCCTTCTCTCTGTGTCTCTCTCCCAGTTGTGAACATCTTTGTTTTTTGTTCCTTCCATTTCACTCGGTTGTTAAACCCTTTGTGTAAGTGTGAGCTGACGTCAGGGGGAGTGGGGGATAGTGTGTGCGTATGTGACAGGACGAGTGAAGTGAATTAGCAAAGTCACTGCAAGATGCTGGCTGGGTTAATGATGCTCTATCATCAATCACTGGCACCTGCAACTCCACTCTGGTCCCTCAATTGGAAATCACTGTTTAAACAAGTTTAAATAACAACTGGGCAAGAAATTCCACCTGGGTCTAGATTTACTCTATTGAATTACCACTTCAGAGCAGTTGGAATTTGGCAAAATCTTAAATCCAGCCTTTTCGTTTTTAAAAACTGTTTTTGCCAAATTCTGGACGATGTGAAACATTTTGAAAACAAAATCTATATTTCTTGAAATACATATAGAATCTATATTTACACCTTCTCAAAACATTCCCATCACAGGAAAGAGAAACCACAACACGATAATATTGCGTTACGGAATATTTGTATCAGGCTCGATAAAACGAATGCTGTGGTTGAGACAAGAGCTCCGGGTTCTACCCTGCGTGAACGGCACTATATAAATGTGAGTTGTTGACGACTGTGTCTCAAAGTGAGAAGGTGTGGCGAGATGCCTCTCTCAGTGAGAGGCTCACAGAGCTTATCTGAGACCTGAGGGCACTCTTAGGCACTGCCCTACAAGAGATTTGCACTGTGCAAAGAGGCAGAACCTGTCACAGCCAGGGAAATGTCCAGATTGACACAGATCAAGCACTCTGGGATACTGCCCTGCATGAGGGATGCTATGTAAATGCAAGTTGTAGTGGTAGTTTAGTTGTAGTTTGCCAACCTGATTTGAAACAGATGGAGTTGTGGTTATTTCCTAAGAGTGAGGCATCAAAAATAAGTTTTTTTAAAACAAACCAGATACATGTGAAACATTGCAGACACATCTAAAAACAAAGCCTGCTTCCCAGTCCTGGCCATAGCAAAGAAGATGGTTTAAAGATTGAAAATAACTCAAATCAAATTAAGAGTGAGAAAATCCCATCTGTTAAAACTTGATTTGGCTGGTGTTTGGCTGCCATCTGGTGCCCATTTGAGAATTTGCGTCTTTTGTTGGCAATCTTATGTCACACAATGAGATGTGTCCCTGAGACTTTGTATAATGTGAACTTCCATACCACCCAATCCACCCCACCCCTTTCTCCAATCCCCAGTGGTCTTCAGGCCAATGATTCTAACTCAGAAAATTCTTGTAATGGCAGCTACTCACCCGTAATATACATGTGGACATGGACTTGGTTTAAGGATCAATACTTAATTTATCCAATGGGGCGGGGTGAGTGGGGGTATCCGAGCTCTCTATTGTCTTGAACAGGCAATGTCTGGTGGTGTACAGGAGATTGAGTTTGCGATTTGATCTTCTGTGCCGTTGCTGTTGAGGGCTTTGTCTTCTAAGGACTGCGTTCACGGTGTCCTGTCCTACTTGATGCCATGAGGACGACCCATTCTGAATCGATAGTTTCTGGGATTGTCTGCTGAGTCCTTATTCACACTTCTAGAAGGCGAGCTGGTTCCAATTAAGTATAAATTTGCTGATCTCACAAGATCGGTCCAGATGAAAAAGTCCCTTTGGCCATCAGATATCATCCTTCCAAAGTATCCCCTATTGTCCCTCCATCACAGTATCAAGCTGCTTTTGAATAAGTCCAGTGTCCTGGTCTCAACCAACCTTCCTGGAAACCTGTTCCAGTCATTAATTATCCTCTGGGTAAATAAATTACTTCCTGGGTCTGTCCTGAAATTGCCCTGTGCAACTCTAAACCTGTGTCCTTTTGTTCTAGTGTCTTGATGCATCTGACTATTTCTTGCTGTTACAGCATCAAGCTGTTTCTTAAACAAGTCCCAGTATCCTGGCCTCTACCACTGCCCAGTGACTACACTCCTTAGTGCCCATTCTGAAATGACCCCCTGAAACACAAAAACGGGGATCTCCAACCAACCAATTGTTGCTGGGTCTTGCGCGTGCTCAATAAAAAGGAGGCAGGAGCGATATTTACTGCAATTAACGCATTAACGTTTATATTTTTATTCCAAGGTGCATGAAATACGTTGTTTTTAATTTGACTGAAAAACGACTCAGTTGTATCAGTCCTTCCTTTGCCTTTTTGATCATGTGCAAGAGCACCGCCTAGTGGTTTGGGATTCCCGCACTAAAGTTATATCCTCTTTTCCTGCTGACTTCTTGTATTTGAAAAGGCTGGTTTGTTACCAATGAGTGTTTACTAGCTGACCTCATGGTAATTCTCAAATGTGAGCTTCACAGGCCAGTAAACAATCATGTTGAGGCCTGGTCTGTGCTATATCAGCAGATCTCACCTTGAGCAATGGTAGGTCTGTTGCAATCTGTCTCAGTGTCCCAGGGCTAAAGATTAGAAACAATCAGGCAGGGTTCCTGACCCTGAATGCTGTTCAGATATCTCTGCTGAAGAATATGTCTGTGCTCAAGTGTGCATACGTGTGCATGTATGTGTGTTGTGCGTGAATATACTTACGCACTCTAAAATCCATAGCACCATCACACCAGTCCTCGTCAGGCTCCGCTGGCTCCTTATCACAGAACCTATCAACTTCAAGATCCTCACACTTGTCTACAAACCCTTTCATGCCCAGGCACCTCCCTACCTCTCTGACCCGCTTACTCCCCACACCACTACCCGCCACCTCCGTTCTGCTCAACAAAGCTCCTGCTTGTCCTTCGTCCCCTCCACTCCACCATCAGCGGCCATGCTTTTAAGTGTGTCTACAGGTGTGCAGGGAGCTATGCTTTCAGCCATTATGCCCCAAACCTTTGGAACTCTCTACCTTAATCCCTCTGCCTTGCCCCCTCCTTCCCTATTTTCAGATCACGCCTGACAACCTTCCTCTTCAACCATGCTCATAGTCACACCCACCCAACCCTCCCCCAGGCTTGTCATTAGGCTCCACCACTGTTAAGCGCTCCGAGACGCTACCCTGCATGAAGGGCGCTATATAAATGCAAGTTGTTGTTGTTCAGTGTTCATGTATGTGTGCATGCACAAGTTAATTTACTGTGTACAAATATAGTTGTTTATATTTGTCTGTGTGTGTGTGTTCTGGCAGAGCCCTAACATAATAGGTTTTAAATTCATGTAAAAAAATGGTTACTCTGTGAAAACATTGAGCTTACGACGTGGGAAATGTAGAAGATCATCGGAATGCAGGAGGAGTTAAGGTTCAATAGAAAATGTACCTTTAAGAAAGAAGCCCATCTCTTTTAAAACATGACCAAAAGGCCTCATTATTTCCACACAAATCTGCTGCAATGAATGTCAGAATTAATGGCCGTTCTTCGGGGAGTGAAAATCTGTTATTAAAGAGACTCTATTCTGAAATCAAGTCCGACACAGATACATGGAAGAGATATCATGAGGTTAGTGACCAAAACAGTGAGTTTATCATCACCAGACATCTGGCTGTTGTTCTCATCCTTATGCATTTGTAAAATATGATGGAAGGCGCTGTCAATAAGAGAGAGAGATAAAACTGCTCAATCTCCTAACAGGAGCCATGCTGACACACTGACATTTAAAGAGATGCTTTGCTTTCTGCCGCAAAAATCAACCACAACCAGAATAAAGTGACATATCGGAACAATTTGCTGAGCTGAATTTTATCCCACATGTGTACTAGTGCTACCACTGCAACCGAGGTCTTAAATGTGGTGAATGTGTGGCAGCCTGGTACAGTGATAGCACTCTCACTTCTGAGTAAGAAGCTTGTGTGTTTAAGCTGCTTGTTGGAACCTGGAATCACATAGTCTAAGCTGATACTCTTAATACAGGGGTGTGTTGCGATTTGGAGGTGCCGTCCTTTGAATGAGACATTAAACTGAGGTCCTGTCTGCCTGTTCAGATGGACGTTAAAGATCTCATGGCACTATTCAAAAAGAGAAGAGAGTTTCTTTCTCCGGGTATCCTGGCCAACAATTGCTCCAATAAAATTGGTCACTCACACCATGGCTGTTTGTGGGACACTGCTAAGCTCAACTGGCTGCCGTGTTTCGCTCACAAAATACACAGTCACTCCATTTTACAATATATCATGTGAAGCGCTTTGGGACATCTCAATGCAAATATTATTATTGTTATTTCCAACAAGTTTCCCCAGTGAGTACTCTTTAGTGGGTTTCTAGAAGTTTTCTCTGCTTTTTACATAGAGTAATAGAATGATACCTTATCCAGCCCAACAAGTCTGTACATCTGTTCGAAACCCCACCCTTCCTATTGCCCTCTCCTTTACCCCTCAATTCTCTAACCCCTCGTACAAGCAGCAAGTTTTCTCATTAAAGAAATCAACTCTATCATACATAACCCTGAATGTCTTTATTTCCCTAGAACTCTCCACTATCCTAGCCAACAGTCCCTCAGATAAAATCATTCATTCCCTTCATAGCCATTTTATGGGACATTGATGTGTATAAATTGGCTGCCTCATTCGCTTGCAAAATACACAATCAGAGAAATACTTGGAAAATGCAGGCATTAAGGGATATGCAACAAAGTGAGGAAAAGAGATTTAAACATCTGCCATGATCTAAGCAAATGGTGGAACAGGCTTGATGGGCTAAATGGTCTCCTTCTGTGGTTCTTTTTCGTTAGGCTCAGCCTCAACATGTAACCCAAAGTCTAAAATTCCATCCAGTCTTAAGCCTCCAAGGCAAGAATGATAACAAGAATAACGTTAAATTGCATTTATACAGTGCCTTTCAAGTCGGGAGGACGTCCCAAGGCGCTGGACAATGGGGTTTTGCACATGAGCTGTATGTTTAGACAAAATGGTGTTAAAAGCTAAGGCCAGATGAATGGCATATCAGAATCTCCCACAAACAGTTATGGATTGAGTGACCCAAATTTTGTTTTGAGGGATTATTACCCCCAGAAACGATCTGCCAATCAACTACCAACCGGGTTTATACTTACTGCTAGGTAAACAGAGGTGTGCGGAGTAAGGAGACAAGCCTAAGGTTTTGCCCCGCCTGGGAATCGAAGTCCGGGTCTTCTTGTTTGCGAAGTGAGCAGACTATGGGACTCCAAGACACAGCCAAAATAACCAAATGCTTTGAACCTAGCAAAGTGGCAGTGATAATGGATACAGTATTTGTGTTTGGTTTAGATGCGAGCTTTTGAGTTCACACACTGCCAGCCAAGCCGATTGGATTCAAACGCACGATTTCGGGGAGAACAATTAATCCAGCCTGCAACATCATCGTTATGAATATTAAACAAAAACTCACAAGGACCTCAGAGCATGGAGGTACTTTTTGGATTACGAGCTTTATTATTTCTTTAAACATACAGCGTTGGCGCATGAATTTAATGGAGCAACAAAAACAGATCCTCTGTCACAAGACCAGCCCTGGTAGCTATCAACCGCTGGATACCCTTGAAATTCAGCCCGCACATCACCACTCGGTTTTGCAAGGACAGGAACCCCGTCACCTTCCAGCATTGAAAGCTACCAGCGCGAGAAGGTCGTAAAACAGCAAAGAATTCCGACTTCAATCACGCAACTCTCACAATACGTTTCCATAGCAGAAAATAACAACTCAAGCGTAGGTCGTAATGTTAAGAAAACTCACACTGCACACAAAAGTACTTTTGCTTGAGGGAGGTCAGTGTCTCTCCTTTAGAGTGCATGACACATTCCCTGCTTTGATCGCTATATGCACATCTAGAAACTAGTGGGGAGAAATTCCATCTGGGTTTAGATTTTCTCTCGTTTGCGCAGTGTTTTAGAACATCCTGAATTTGGCAAAATTCTTAAACACAACCTTGATTTTGAAGCTGGTTTTTTTTCTCTCTTTCTGTGCAAGTTCTTAAAAGAAAACCAACTTCAAAGTTGAGGCTGAATTCAGCAGTTTGCTAAAAAAAAATCGTGGTCACTGGTGAAAAGGCACATAAGCAGAATTTATCCCATAGAGAGTATTAGAGAATCCTATAGGAAGCGGTATATCTAATTAAAGCCAGGGAGGTCAGATATGTGATATTTTAGCTCCCTCACATTATTGTGCTCATTGATTGCCCTCTCCATTGACCTCATCGGTACTCACAAAATTGCTTCAAAATACCGAAAGACATAAAAACATTAGCATCGATTTTTCAAAGGTTTTCTGAAGGCGAGAGACTCCCTCCGTAAGATAAAAGTGCACAAAAACAAGTACCATTGTACAAACTAGGGCTTTAAGCCCGAGCATTTAGCACATCCTGGGATCAATTTTGCGGTATTTCTCAATGGCATTTCTTAATTAAAAAAACCCAAAGGGGGCTGCTTCTGGCAATGGGAAGTACATCACATTCATCACTTGAGGAAACCTTTGCAAGGAAAACAGACCCAGTTTCCACCTATACATATATTTCTGTATCCCATTGAGAAATCCTACACTATTGACTCCCTATATTATTCTGATCTCTAGGTTAATAATATAATCACTATTCAAAAGGGGGGTTTGGACTCCAGGATCCCCTTTTGCAAATCAAATACTTACAAAGGATTATTATTACAACTTTAGCAGTTTTTTTGTGTTTTTTCTGGAGTTTTTTAATGTACAGTATATATTTCTGTTTAAATGGTGAATCCTGGTGACCTAACCAGGAATGGTGGAGGAGGGGTTAGGGGTGGGAAGAGAGGAGAGACTGGCTTGTGTAAATATACTCCACCCGAGAGCGTGAGGAAATGACAGCATGAATCGAAAGTGATTGAGAAACCTTTTCCATCTTGTCCATTCAGTGCAAAGCATCTCCATGGCTCTGGGTGCAGCCAGGTTGGGATGCAGGGTAAAGCTTTCTCTACCCTTGCCCCAGCGACGCAAAGGGTCATAGGACTCCTTATAGCTGTGGTCATTCGAATCCCATACCAGTGCCCTTTCTGGACAAGTTGCCTAGTTCAGTGCCAATTTACAGTCAGCTCTGCTCTGCTGAAAGAATCTCTGCTCACTTGAAACCTGCTCAGAATTCATTTTACTTTGGGCCAGTGCATCAGAGAGACTTCGACCTTAACTGGATCCAAACACAAGTCCCCAACCATGTTCTGACCTTCGACACTGCCAATCCTTCTTCCACCAATATCTTAAAGAAACAAATTACAAATTACCCCCCTCCAAATACACACACCCACGTACACACACACACACATCCAGATTGTTCAAATAAAATGCTTTTTCCCCATGTGAAAATTTTGCCCAGTTGACAGAAAAATGCAAACATATCAATATCCAAGAGTATATCTGGAAATAGTTCACTGGTATCACTCTATTAAGATAAATATTTTATAAGATGGGCAGCGACATTGAAAATATATTTCCTTAGCATTGCGAGCAGTATACAAACACAAACCTGTTCTTTAGTTTTAATATGTTGCATAAACGCTGGTAACATTTGCCTACCTAGCTCATAGCAAATCTCTTACACGTATTTGTAGTAATAGTGTCTTAAAAATATTTAGCATGTTTAGGTTTTCTTCCTTTTTTTTAATTCCCCCTCAAAAAGTCAAGAGCTGTGCTGTGCTTTTACAAATCTTTTGTTTTAATTAAAGTGACGAGTGGCTTATCGTCGGGGCTGTAGTCTTCGTAGGCGACTGGGGTAGCATCGTACATCGCTGGCCTCACCTTCTTCCCGAACCTGAAGTTAAACAGAGTAAACCAGGAGTGAGACCCCACACAATGATTCAGTGTAAAGTCAAGAGGGGAAGCAAATGTTTAACGGTGTCATGTTGGTTATCACTCTCGCCTCCTAGTCATGATGTTGTGGGTTCAAGCCCCACGTCAGGACATGGAATCACATAGTCTAAGCTGACATTCCATTGCAGTGCTGTGGGGTCCCATTTGAAAAGAGAAGGGAGGATCTCTCTCCCGGTGTTCTGGCCAACAATTCCCCCAAATAAAATTGGTCCTTCACTTCATTGGTTTGTGGGTCATTTTTGTGTGCAAACTGATCCACAATATGACATTCCCAGACACTGACTGAGGATTGGGGACACAAGAACTAAACAATCTTATCCCCATATTCTGAGGATCATTGGCACAAGGCCTAAAGAATAATAATAATAATTCTTGCAATTGATACATCTTATCCCGTCTTCAAGGTGTCTCAGAGTGCTTCACTGAATATACTGTAGAGTAAACTGACTGTCTATTTTGTGGGCAAAATGCGGCAGTCAATTGCACACAGCAGTATCCCACAAACATTCGTGGATTGAATTTTGTATGGGATTATTACATCAATCCGCCAATTGACTAACAATTGCGTTCCTATTTACTGCTAGGTAAACAGAGGCGTGTGGAGTAAAGAAACTTGCCCAACATTTTGACTTGCCCAAGAATCGAATCCACGTCCTCTCACTTGAGAGGTGAGTGCTCTAACCAATACGCTGCAGTATCCACAAACTCTGAACTGTGTCTATATTTAGTGCTACCCTGTGTGAGGGGCTATATAAATGCAAGTTTTTATTTATTCCTTGTGGATGCTGCTGCATAGAATGAGGTTGTGCCTTACCTAGCATGTCGGATCGAGGCGATGCTGTTGCTTAATTCACTGTCGATGCTCCTGCAATTATAGAACTCCTCGTAGGCAGGTCTGGAGGCACCCTGGTACTCGATTCGGCTGATGCGGCAGATGCCCACGATCAGGATGATCAACATCAGGACAAAGGCCACGCACAGGGCTCCGATGATAATGTACAGCGAGTGGCGAGGCATATTGTTCAGACTCTCTGCCATCCGGCCAGATTTCCACTCCATGTCTGCAAATAAAAGGCCAGATAATTCAACTTACAGCTAATAATTTTAATAATGATAATCCTTGCATTTGATGTAGCGTCTTATCATGTCATTGACTTGGAATTCATATAGGACTATTGTATAGTCCTGTAGCGTATTAGCTCGAGCATTTGCCTCGCAAGCGAGAGGACCTGGGGTCGATTCCCGGCAGGGCGAAACGTTAGACAAGTTTCCTTACTCCACACAAGCCTCTGTTTACCTAGTAGTAAATTGGAACCCGGTTGTTAGTTGTTTGGTAGATTGTTTTCCGGTGGGGAATAATCCCTTCAAAAAAAAGAAATTAAAAAATAATAATTTGGTCATTCAATCCACAACTGCTTGTGGGACACTGCTGTGCTTAATCGAATGCCATGTTTCGCCCACAAAATATACAGTCAATTCACTTTGCGGTATATTCTGTGAAGAATTTTGAGACGTCCTCCAGAACTGAGGCGCTCTACATCAAATGTAAAGATTGTTATTATTTATTATTATAAATTTGAAGGCAAAATGGCCTCATAGACAAAAACAAAGTGGAATCTCAGGATCCGGTGAAGAACGATCAGTAAAAATATCACTTTACAACTAGCAGCTGAGCTCGGAAGCTGTCCCCGCATCAGTGCTGAACAATGAACACAAGAGACCGGGAGCTTTGCCCTGGAGGATTTCATGCTCACTGTTTCCGCAGCGAGGACATTGTTCCCCTTTATGAACGCTAAGCTGTTTTCAAAATAATTACCTAATTTGCCATTAATTTCTTCAGCCTTAATCGTCTTTTATCAAATCCTTTCTGAAACTCCAAGTGGATTATACCCACTTCAGTGCCCTCGTGCACCAAGTTAATTTCCTCCACAGGGAGTTAGATTACTGGGATGTAACCTGTTGCTTTGAAATTCACACTGACTCCTCTGCTGGGCTCCGTGAGAGGTCTTATAATAATAATAATGATAATCCTTGTATTTGATACAGTGGCTATCACGTAGTTGAAACTTCTCAAAAGCGCTTCACAGAATTTATTGTAAATTGGATTGACTATGTATTTGTGGTGTTTTAATAAACATTGATACAATCCCTTAAAATACCTCTGAGCATTGTAACCTCTACCAACTATTACGTTAACCGTTCTATGTGGGGTGCGGTCAGGGTGGAAAGAAGGGAGGAAGGGGGGAAGGGGTAAGATAACACAGCATATGATATTATCGCTGGTGGTAATTATCACATCAAACATAAATGGAAGCAGTAACAAATCACCAAGGCCTAGGAAAAAGATTGGTGCTTCAGACTTGGGCCGATGTGCTAATTATCACTGGTGATTATGTCACATAACGCATTTAACTCCCTCTATCAGCCTCCCGCTTTTCAATATTGGGGTGACATTTGCTACTATCCGGTCATCGGGTAGAACTCCTGATAAGAACAGCACTACTGGTAAAGCATTACGGTCCTTGATTCCTACCTATGGTCATCTTAGTAGGGTATTCCACATCCTAACAACACTCTATGTATAAACAATCACTCCCTTTGATTCCCCTGCTAACTGTCTTAAATTGATCACCTTCAGTCACTGACTAATGTCAAATGATTATTATAAGCGGCGTAGGTGGAGGATGGCTGTGGGACTTACGGATATCACAATTAGCTCCCACCCAGCCATGTGGGCAGTGGCAGACATAGCCGTTTGCCTGGTTTAAGCAGGTCGCTCCACGGTGGCAAGGGTTGCTCTCACACTCATTGAGGTCAGTCTCGCATGTTTCACCTGCACAGGGAGACAAAAATGTGAAGGAGTCAAAACGAAACCTTATATGATAAAAAAGCTCTGCGGAAATGCCATGACTGACGTTAAGAATTTCCCAATATGACCTTTCAGGAATTTCAGTGCTCGCTGTCTCCACTGTTTCACATCCCAGAATGGGACCTTCTCCCGGGCAACATATCTCGCTTACTCCCATGATCCATAAATCAGTGCCAGGCATGTCCTCCAAGTCTTGTGACTCACTTGTCAAAGCCCATGTACAGGGTAACTATTAAGTCCTCTTATACTCTCTTACAAAACACCAATTTAAGACTCCGGAGGAGCTGAAACAAGCTGTCAGACGTGCATTTCACCTCATCACTCCATCCATGTTACAGAAGATGTCGCACCGAACATGGTAACAGATCACTATCTGCCATGAAAATGATGGTGATCACTCACACCGATCCTCTGGATGCCTAAATACAAGTAAACACTGGTACTGAATACAATTAAGTAGTTCTAAATACAATTATCATCATTCTTACACGTTTCATTTGTTGATCAATACACTGTGTAAAAAAAACATGGACTTTGTGGACTGTAGAATGTGGATGGACATTGTCATGATATCAGTGAACCTTCCCTACTCCCCAAATGACTGAGCCACATTGTTTCAAATACCCCTTTCTACTAAAATATTTCAAGGAACAATTAGAGTCTGAAAAGGGAATGTTGCAAAAAAATGAATAGCAATCACAGATCACAAGACTGGAAGGCAGGTTCAGATGAAGAAGACCATTTGATCGGGACGTCCTCCCGACGTGAAAGGCGCTATACAAATGTAATTTGTATTGTATTGTGTTGTATTGATCTCACCCTACCATCTTAAGCTGTTTCTCGAGTCCAAGTGTCCTGGACTCACCTTTCTTAGCAACCTATTTCACTTGTTAAATACCCTGACCTCTTGTTCTGCTGCCTTGGGGTGTCGGAAAGTAATGACAACAAGAAAAGAAAATAAAGACTTTCTGCCATTAGTAATTAAGCACCTAAAGAAGACACCATGTAACTAGTGGATCTTAATGTATCATTCCCTGCAGCACTTATACCCCGTCTGTCACCTAAATCACAGTCCCGAGTAAGAGCTGTCACCAAACAGCCTCTGAGCAATCACAGCTTAACATGACATCCACGGTGCAAGTGAATGGATGAGTTGTAGATGATGGAGAGTTGTGTGAAATATATGTCAGATGTATTTTTTTTAATTGAGTTTTCCCAGTGAATTTTTAGGCTACGTGATGATGGTTCAAGTAATATATGAAGATAAACTATAAGCCTGGGTTTGCCCAGTGTCTCATGGGTCACCAACCATGCTTCTCTGTACAGATGAATTGCCATATGTTTTGCTGTAATACTTGCCTGCAAATCCAGGTGCACAAATGCAAGTGGCATTCAGCCCCTCACTGGCACAGGTGCCCCCATTCTGACAGCTGGCGTTGGCACAGGGATCCTTGTAGAGGTCACAGTGCTGACCTGGAAGCAAATTAACCCATCTTATTTAGCAGATTAAAAAATTGGTCACTCAATCCACGACTGTTTGTGGGACACTGCTGTGCACAATTGGCTGCTGCGTTTCGCCCACAAAATAGAGTCAATCCACTTTACAATATATTCTGTAAAGGGCTTTGAGATGTCTTAATGACGTGATAAAGCGCTATAATAAAATACAAGGATTATTATTATTAGATACTTTAGATACATTGTTTTCAGGCCTTTGCAGGTAGTCAAACAAACCAATACACTTTCCATGTGTTTCATTCACAAAGATTAATTTCTCTTAAGTTTTCATTGCTCGCTGCTCCAGTTCACTCTATTCCTCAAACAAGGCCTCAGAGCTCGTTCAACTAAGTTGAAAGTCAGCAATCAACTTTGGATCAAACTGTAGCTCAGTGGTTAGAGCACTCGCTTTGCAAGCGAGAGACCTGAGTTCAATTCCAGGCAGAGGGCGAAACCTTGGGCAAGTTTCCTTACTCCACACAGAGCCTAATAATAATCCCTCCAAAACCAAAAACAATAATAAATTAGTCATTTTCAATCTATGACTGTTTGTGGGACATTGCTGTGCACAATTGGCTGCCGCGTTCGCCCACAAATATACAGTCAATTCACTTAACAGTGTTTTCTGTGAAGCGCTTTGGACATCCTCCAGACGTGAAAAGCGCTATATCAAATGCAAGGATTATTATTATTATTATTATTAAAGACTCCTATGAGTACCCAGTGATTTCTGATGTGCATATGTAATTACATCAGTGAACCCACACAAGCGGAGTATATGGGTTAGTTAAAAGAGTGTTACGGTGAGTGTACGTCCCCAGAAATTGTGTCCCTGGAGCTAAATTTGCCCTGTCTTGAGTTTAGCAACAAACTGAGCAAGAACAATAAATTCTAAAACAAGTACACTCATCAGAGACAGAAACAAAGCTGTTAATCCAACATGCTTCTCCAGGGTACTGCCAGCAACAGCAATTGTGGAGGCTTGTTTTTTATATATGTGTCACATTGCATCGAGTAATGCAAAAGGGTTACCAAGATATAGTTTAACCTGAAATAGGGCTTGTGCTTAATAGATCTGTCAAAGGTAGACACTTGTCCATGACCTACCATCATACTCAGCAGGGCACAAACATTCGTAACCGTTCACAAGGTCTTTGCAAGTTCCCGAGTTCTGGCAAGGAGCTGAGAGGCACTCATTGTATTCCTCCTCACAATATAGCCCGTGGTAACCTGTGGAAGCAGAGGGAAGACATCAATGGGATGGTATTAGTATACTCAGTGAATGAGATGTTCAACCAAGGTCCTGTCTGCTTTTTCAGGTGGACGTTAAAGATCACGCAGCAATACTCGAAAAGGGGAGTTTCTTTCTCCCGTTGAATTGGCTATCAATAACAATAATAATTCTTGTATTTTGTTTAGTGCCTAATCACGTCGAAAGAACGTCTCAAAGGGCTTCATAGGAATTACTGTGAAATGGAGTGACTGGAGATGTAGGCAAACACAATAAAATTGGTTACTCACTCCGTGGCTGTTTGTGGGACATGGCTGTGTGCAACTGTTTGCCGCATTTCACCCATAAGATACACAGTCACTCCACTTTACAGTATATCCTGTGAAGCATTTGAGACGTATGAACCATGTGATAAGGAGCTGTATCAAATGCACGGATTGATAAATATTATAATAATATTTTTTTTTACTTCTGGCTTAATATTAAAGACAGGAAGTTGGTGGATGCGATACCTGGGATACACAGGCACTTGTAGCTGGTTCCAACACTGCGGCAGATACCGTGAGCACAGGGACTGAGAGCACAGAAGTCGATCAGCTGAGCGCAGGTTGGTCCAGTGAAGGCTGGGCTGCAATTGCAGCTGTATGAGGTGCCATCCGGAAAGCAGGTGCCATTGTTCTGGCAGGGTGACAAGGCACAGGGGTCTATCTTCTCTCCGCACGCTGGGCCTGTGAAATCTGCAAGGTACATCACAAACAGGCTAGTCAAGCATTGAGAGCAACGCAGAGAGTAACGCAGAGAGACTGATGCAAAGAGACTGACACAGAGAGACTGACCAGAGAGACTAATATGGACATGCTAAAGCAGAGAAAGAGTAACGCTTGAGAGAGCAATACAGAGAGAGTAAAACAGAGCCATTAACACGGAGTGTAACGTAGAGAGTAACACAGAGAGAGTCACACAGAGAGAGTAATAGAGTGTATCGCAGGGAGTAACACTCTGTCTTCTCCCTTCTACTCCCTCCCTCTCCCCACCACCCCCACCCCTGCCCCTTCCCCCCCGAACCCCTCCAAGTCCTGTAGCTTGGGAGTCCTGTAGCTCAGCGGTTAGAGCACTCGCTTTGCAAGTGAGAGACCTGAGTTCAATTCCAGGCAGGGCGAAACCTCGGGCAAGTTTCCTTACTCCACACGCCTAATAATAATTCCTCCAAAAAACCAAAAACAATAATAAATTGGTCATTTTCAATCCACGACTGTTTGTGGGACATTGCTGTGCGCAATTGGCTGCCGCGTTCGCCCACAAATATACAGTCAATTCACTTTACAGTGTGTTCTGTGAAGCACTTTGGGACGTCCTCCCGACGTGAAAAGCGCTATATCAAATGCAAGGATTATTATTATTATTATTATAAGTGGACCTCAGATATCCTGCCCATATTTCAGGTTGTGCAAAAGATCAAATGCACGGATTGCAAATGCAAAACCTTGCAAAAGATACAAGCATTTTGATGGCTGAAACAAAGAATCTTATCAATCCATCTAGACATTAAGCCCAATAAGAGGTTGGCTTGTAGCTGTGGGGGTGGAGGAGGGAGGCAGGGAACTGGGGCAGCTGATTCTGTTAGTGTAAACAATAAATACTGAGCCCATCCACAAGTCAGAGCAGTATCTCAGAGAAATCGATTTCTGTAGCAATAGTGATGCTCATTTGACCACTTTCATAAGCTACTGATGATAATGGCCTTTTCATCCATATTAATGGTGTTTAATTGCACAGGTATCATAAGGTTTTATAGCTCCAGTGAGGGAGTTTATACTGTATCAGCACAGTCAAGATGGCCAAATAATGTCTTTCTGTGCTGCCAAGGCTCCGTTTATCAGTTGTGTGTCTGCACCTCATCAAAAACTCCTGCCCATTGTGGTCAGAAAGAGACAACTAACCTACAGTGTAACTAGAAGTAAGTAGGAACTCGGTTGTTAGTTAATTGGTGGATCGCTGGTGTGGTAATAATCCTTCCAAAGAAAATGTGGTCATTCAATCCATGACTGTTTGTGGAACACTGCTGTGCGCAATTGGCTTCCACATTTCGCTCACAAACCATAGAGTCAATCCACTTTACAATATATTCTGTGAAGAGCTTTGAATGACGGATAAGGCGCTATATCAAATGCAAGGATTATTATTGTTATTACAGACAATGCAATCTGAATAGTGGTATGTGAGAGGCCAGTTCACAACCAGTTTACCATCCCTGTATAATCTGCTCGCTGTCTTAGAGACTGGAGAAAATATTACGTTTACTGAATCGTGAAAAATGTTGGAAAATATTTGAGAAAATGTGTAGGATCTGTTATTAGCAAAGCACATGGTTTTCTTTGCTCTGTGCTGCTCACTTGGACGAGGTGCTAGCCTGGCCTGGGTGTGACAGCCCGGCCTAGGTGTGACAGCCCGAGGCCTCTTCAGGGATCAGAGGTAAAAAGATTAGCTTCTCAGTGGGAACAGCAAGCCCAGCCTCTCAGGGGGATTACCGTCTGTATTGTCAGCATTGGTGTCAACCAGCAACAGCCCAGTGCAATACAGGTCACTGAAACATTCTTTCGGTTCGGAGGCATTAGGTATTCAACTAAAACGTTTTCAGTCTCCTGACTGTTCTTCAAATAAAAAAGAACCTGGTATTTAGACAGTGGACAGCAAAGTGTTGGGCACATACGTGCAACACTGCATGTGTGAAACTTCACAGATGTCTAAGTAAGAAGGATAATCCTTGCATTTGATATGACACCAGGGGGGCATCTCAAAGTGCTTCAAAGGGAGTCTCAAAGACTTGTTTGCAACTTAATGTGCTTGCAACGCAGCGTGTATGTAACTTCACACATGTGGGAGTATCCTTGCATTTGATATAATGCCTTTCATGTCAGGAGGTTATCTCGAAGATCTTTACAGGACACCTTCACTGGAATATTTTGTGGGTATGTACAGGACACCTTCACTATGTATTTTGTGGGTGAACATGGCAGCCAATGTACGGTCACAAGTTGGACCACTGTACTAACCTGTTGAGTTCACTCCTGCACTGCGCTGTCCAGTTTGGCTGTGTTTTTTTAAACGAAACAGCCCTAATGTCCCTCCCTCAACAGACAGCCTCACATGTACCAGCCAGGAGATGGCAATCATCCTGTAATCAGTAATTAGTTTGCTCAAATAACAGGCCACCCCTGCGGCCTGCAGCTGGCTGCTCTCTGTCTTTCCAGATGTTCGGGTTGTGATAAATTGGAGGTTAGAAATGACATTTCCGCACAATGTATAAGGTCAAGATACAAGTTTCAAAAGCTCTATATTATTTGCAACTCAAATCCTTTCAATTCCACAAACACGAGGCATCTGGCGATCAAAGGCCAGGGCTATGCTGACGTGCTTGGGACAAGTTGAAAATGTCAAATCATAAGGCCCTTCTCCACCCCCACCGCCCAACTGACTACCACACAGTGGAACCCAGGCAGCCTATTTCCCAGTCACTACCAGAAATATGGTGAGGTCTAAACAGATCTTAGAGATGAGGGAAGAAATTGAACAAATAGAAGGAAAATACATTCCCTCAGTTGGATTTCAGCCTGCATGGGAACCTTGCCTGAGTTTTCTCCCCCTCATTTAAGCTCTTCACTGTGTAGGTTGGCAAGAGCTAAGGATTGGGGACCCCATTATCAAACTGTGCCCACCATTATTGAACTATAGAATTGGAGCCTACCTTCTGGGCAGAGACAACTGTACCCAGTGGCTCTGCTCATGCAGGTGGCTGCATTTTGGCACGGCTGTGACACACAGTGATCCACTTGAGTCTGGCACACGTCTCCTGTGTAACCTGGCGACAGAGATAGAACCAATAAAACAAAATGATTTTTCCAGATTCAATAAGTAAAACAGGGAGGAGAGTAATCCGCAATAGCATTGTCTTAGCTGAGGCATGTTTTGCTCCCACTGTCTGCATTAGATTTCTAATTAAATCTGTCTCGTGTTAATCTGCTTATTCATCTTAAATGCCTTTTGAAGAAATTGTAAATGCCTGAGTGACTAACGTAAATTTACCAGAGCTGAATGGATAATCTCATCTTTGTATAGCAATCCTATTGTCTTCTCATCACTGTATTAACCTGGATCCTGACCTATAGCAGCGCTTCTGATAAATTGTTCCAGCTGTTAATCACCTCTGTGCAAAGGAATACTTCTCGGTGTCTGCCCGAAACTTGCCCTTGATAACCCTCTGTGCACAGTTAATGCTCTGTGCCCTCTTGACCTGTTGCACACACAGTACATGTGAAAGCTTTATTCTGAGTTCACTTTTTCTATCCCAGTTAGCATTTTACACCTCTAAACAATCCCCTCTGAGACATTTATTCTCAGTGTTGAAGAGCCCTATCTTATCCAGTCATAGTTCTAAACTCATCCATCTAATATTGGGGATCAACTCCATTGCTCTTCCTTACATTGCCTCTATTGCCTTGGCAACTTCCTATGTATTCAATACTCCAGCCGAGGTCTGACCAGGACACTGTGTATCTTGAGCTTGACAGCTGGAGATCTGACCTCAACTGATTTGTTAATGTTGCCCACCAATCTGTTTGCCTTGCTTGAGGAGTGCGGAGCACTGTGAGAACATAAAGGGCTGTGTGTGCTACAGTAAATTCAAAAGAATTAAAGCACAATATTGAGCTAATGCCCTTGAGGAGACAACCATCGGCTTAGTTAAGGTATGAGTTGTTGAGTTGAACCAAATAAGTCTTGTTGAGAAATGCATTGTGCGTCCTAGTTTTTATTGGCCAGAGGGATTGCACTATCCTAGTGGATTGAAATTGCTGTAGTTGGGTTATATGTCATATTAAATTATATGTTATATTGGGTCTTGTCAGGGTTGGAAAGCCTCCCAATGTTCTTCCTTATGATTGTAACAGGCTGTCTCACAATACCACCAGTTTACCAAAAACACTCCATCCCTTTAGCAGATGCAATTTGTGCACAGCAATATCCCACAAACTATTTCCACCTCGGTTTCCACCTGAAGCAAGAACAAAGGTTAGTCTAATAGAAACAGCTGTTATGTTCCAGATGACAGCTTTGCGATGTGACAGGAGCTAGACCGCTGCATTTTGCAAACTAGACGACCATCATTTATCACGGTTTCTTTCCCAGAACCAGTTCTTATCAAACGATCTCCATGAATGCTCTCTTTTCACAGGGGTTCTGTTTCACTCACACACCATTCGTTTTCCCATATTATAATCCAGAGTTACATTTTTTTCCCCATCTTCTTTGAGCAACCTTGCTTTTGATTGTTTTTGCCCGCTCTGGACTGAGTAAAAACACTGGATGGGGGCAATGAAGCCTTGAGCTCCATTTGTTGTGGTCTCTAGAGTTCTTCCAGCATGTTTTTAACCCCTCCTCATACAAGTGTTGTCTTAGGTGTATGTAGTCTGTTTAACTTCGGAATACACATTGCTAGATCTGATTCTAGGCTGACATTCCAGTGCAGTGCAGGGGAACGCCAAATAGTCAGCAGTATCATCCTTTGGGTGAGACATAACTGAGATCCTGTCTGTCTGATCAGATGGGCGTTAAAGATTCCATGGAGATATTTGAAAAGAGATGGGAGTTTCTTCCGGTGTCAAGCAACAATCCCTCAGATAAAATCAATCATCACTTCATCGCTGTTTGTGGGACATTGCTCTGCTCAAATTGACTGCTGTGTTTGTCTACAAATACACAATCACTGCACTTTACAGAAAACGTTCCAGCATGAAAGACACAATATCAATTAATATTATTAATATTGGTAATGACAACAAATGCAATAACAAATGATGGTTCATTGGTTCACTTGCCCTATGTGGGTTTGGATATAAAGTTGAGGTTCAATGTGGTTATCCTAAAGATCAGTAACTTTAATCCTGGGAATGTGGAAGGATGTCCATGAGTGAATCTATCAGTGAGCCTTCAAAGGGAAAGGTTCTGTGAAACGCTGCAAGTAAAACAGCTCAGAATAATACATGTCACAAGACTCCATGGCAACTGAACAAATACAGAAAGGTCAAGCTAATGGGACACGGTAAATTCCTAATCTTAGTAAACACGCTCTTGAGATCTAAGGAGAACAGGTTCCCATTCACCTCCTGATGCTCTTTAACTGAGCAGCTGCCAGAGTCAACTTTAAAACAATCACTTTGATACATAACATCCTTCACAACACTCCTGGATTTACTTCATCCCTCTCTGTGAAGAATTAACAGCATATAACATCCCACGCACCCATCACTCAAGCTGAGGTACCATATCCTCGCTGTAGCTCTCTGATATACCATCCTCTGCACCACATCACTCTCATATACCACAAACTACAGCAAACTCACATCCACAGACGATAACACTCTCATATAATAATAATAATCCTTGTGTTTGATATAACGCATTATCATGTCGTTGAGACATCTCAAACCCTTTATGGGATATACTGTAACGTGAATTGACTGTATTTTGTGGACAAAATGCGGCAGCTACTTGTGCACAGCAATGTCCCACAAACGGCCATGGAGTGAGTGACCAATTTTATTTGGGGGATTGTTGGCCAGGACATGAGGAGAGAGAAACTACCTTCTCTTTTGGAATAGTGCCATAGGATTTTTAACATCCATCTGATCAGGCAGAATATCTCACCTAAAGGACTACTGTGAATGGTAGGGTATATGGGAGTGCTGTAGAGTGTGGCATAGCTCCTTTGCCGTGGCACTTTCAAACTGTGCACTCACCTCTCAGATATACCAAGCTCTTACTTTGTACTATCCTGCAATACCCTTTCACTGTAACACTCAGTGATATACAATATTCCTTACCATAACAACATCTGATGTATACCTCTCACTCTCTCTGATCCAGCAAGATGAAGATATAATGGATTCAAACTTTATTTCTTCCTTAGTAACACATGGAATATGGCAAGGTCCTCTCGCTTTAATGCACATTGTGCATGGCCCCACCATTTAACAAATAGCACCACTGCTATAACACATTGTTACAGGCCAGCTCTCCACAATCCCACACTTCATAGGGAGAAGGTTAGAACTGAGCCCATCACTGCCACATAGCTTTTCCCAACATGAGTCTCTCACATTAAGAATGGTCTCTAGGATGAGGTGCAGAGGGGTGGAAGGTAATAGAGAGGGTGGGTGGTAGTATGCTTGGAACTGCTTGTTAAGAGTATGAGTCAATATCTTCAGAAGAGATGAGCGATTAGGAAGACAAACATATGATGGACGATGTTAACGTTATTTTTTGGGGTCAGCCAGTTGTCTGACATATGTGGGAACCAATCACTATGCTTAAGACTTTCCAAACCAAGCTGAGAATTCCATGCATCCCACCTACACATGGAACTTCCAGAGAGAGGTCGTTGGAATGAAGTGCGCTCTTTCTCCCTGGAGGGACGCACCCTGCTTAATTAATTCTGGAAAGTATTGGGCACAGGTTGGTAAGAGCCAAGGCTTGGGGACTCCAGAGCGTGCATTGGGGTACTGCTGGAGTGTAACTTGCTAAAACCGCATAGCTTGCCATTGATAGCACTATCTGGCAAACTTATTTTAATATAAGCAATGTCTGGCAACATTTAATATATAAATCCCAATTAATCTATCAGATTTTTATAACATTAAAGCAATTGACGCTGGCATTCGTGGACTGCAGTGATATACATTGTACAATCCTGCTTATTCCTCGCTTTTCAGAACTGCTGACATTTGCTCTCAGTAAGCTATTTTGCGATGGGGGGGGGGTGGGTGGTGAAGCAAGCCAGCTTTAGTCCTGTGTTATTAATGGCTGGTGATGCTCACTGACTGCAGAGAGTGAGCAAGCAAACCATTATTTCACAGAAACATATTTCAGCCTGGTCTATTTTTAGGCAATGAGCACAGGTCAGTGTCTGCAGGCTCATCCCTGGGCTCTGAGCGATTCAGACACCAGACATCCAGAACAGCAAGATTCCTTTTTAACGCTATGGCTGCCTTTTCGGAAGAACAGAGGCATTATTAATGATTCAATATAATTTCTGACAAGTTTCCTTGGCCATACAATCCCAAACTATGGCCCTAACTGAGAGTCCAACTCACAGGGCAGAGCGATGGAAAACACACTCACTGTCCAAACCTGTTCTGTTTTGCTAATAGACTTTCAATCTTCCTGTCAGCTTAATTTTCCTCCCAGTAAAAGGTTGACAAACACGGAGCTGGATTTCTGGGGAATGTTACACTTGCATCAGGATGTCTATGAGCTGCAGGCTAAGCATCTGAACTCCTAGTAGATTTATTGTCTCCTGGGGGACAAGCAGTTCTTTTCCCTTAAGACAGTGTGCGCTGCAGCATTCAAAAGCAATATATTGTGCCTCTCAGCAGCATTAAAACAGCTGTAAGCTAAAACTAAGTTAACCCTCCCTGGAACAGAGTGGGAAATGACTCCTATTCTCTTACATAATCTTCCTCCTTCCAACATCCTCCTTGTGTTGAAATCAGAAACCTGATTTCAACCTTCAAGCTGTAACTGAGCATGATGGAGGGTGGGAACCAGTAAAACCAACCACTGCAAACATGTCTGACCTGATGTTTCAATTAAATAGGTGGTGTTGGTGGGGGTGCAGGGAGGGAAAGAAACGTGTGGGTTACACGTTGAACATACCTGGTGCACAAACACAGGTGAAATTCCGCTCGTTGTTCCCCTGCTGAATGTCCAGACAAGTTGCGCTGTTCTGGCACTGGTTGCTGTGGCAAGCATCAAATTCTTCACAGAAATGGCCAATGTGTCCCTCCTCACACTCGCAGTAGAAGGTTGCCTGTCAACACACGTATACACGCACAGGCATATACACACGCACACACACACACACACACACACACACACACACAGGAACACAAACATTGCAAAATGAAACCACACAAGTACAATTTTTTCTGGTGAGTGCTGTAGAATGTAGAATGTCAACGACAACAGCAACTCGCATTTATATAGCGCCCTTCACGTGGGTGGTCCTTACATAATAATAACAATAACAAATTACATTTGTATAGCGCCTTTCACATCGGGTGGATGTCCCAAGGCTTTGGACAGTGGGCGTCTATATGGCCGACAATCTTATCACTTATTTTCAGATCATAAGAAAACAAGACAAGGCCATTCAGCTCATCCAGCCTGTTCCACCAGCTTTAGATCTTGACAGACCTTCTAATCCCAATGTCGTGCCCTTTGCCTTAATACCTCTACTACCCAATAATAATAATAATCCTTGCATTTGATATAGCTCTTTTCACGACTTCTAGACCCAAGTATCTATCTAGCTCTTTTTTAATTATCCCTATTGATTTCTCCTCTACAGTTTTTCTGGGACAGAGCATTGCACATCTTCACAAGTCTCTATGTGAAGAAATGCTTCCTGACCTCACTTCTAACTACTTTAGTTCTAATTTCAAGGCTGTACCCCCTTGTAATCGATCATCATACCATTGTTTTTACCATTGTTCCTTTTAGTTTCCGTCCACCTTGTCGTTCAGGGTTCAAAGCTTCACATCAAGACTTTGAGCCATTTCTGAACAGTCCCAGTTGCATCGACGATTATAGTAACTATGTTTTATATTGCCATATTATTATTATTATTACCACTGTATTATGTAAATTACTCAATTGATTGACAGGCAGATTACTCACCCCTCCATCCGCTCAAGAATTTTGCCCAGGGCAAGGGCCCAGAATTATGAAAATGTCAGTATTCAGTAGAATTCAATGTCACAGCATGCAACTCATTTCAATCATCCTTTCACTCTTTCATTTAAAACTTAGTGATATTAATTAAATTCTGGTTCTGCCTCACTGCAATTACTCCTGCAGCAAATTGATGATTGATTCCTGTATGGAATATCATTGTCAGAGCAAAGCCATATCTTATTTTTATCTGACTGTCACCTTTCAAGGATGCCCAGTTCACCCAGCAAGGTTAGAATGCTATCAATAGAGCCTTGCATTTGGTGAAGAGCCTCATCGCATCGCAACGTCTCAAGAAGCTTTCCGCAGGGTGTTCCTTTGAAATGTAATGACCGTTAGTTGTCAAAGACAGTAGCTAGTCTTTGCCAACACATAGGAGCCCCAGGTCATCACACCAACAGAAAGCCTAAGCCTCACTCTCTGAGGAGCTGAGATGTTGAGAAGTAACCAGTAACAGGCTGTGATCTCATTACAAGTCAAACCTGCATCTCACTGGATCTCGTCACATTAATGAATGGAACAGAGGCTCGGATGTTTACCCAGTGGAGGCTTAGCACCTTTGATCAGCAAAGTCAGAGAAGGAAACTTCAAACTGAATGACTAACCAGAGGAGCAGGAACAGAACCGGCAGCGAATAAACACAGTAGCCACCAAAGGCCAGATCGCTAATTAAAACCATCTTAGCGGTGGTTTAGCCACATCACTACAATCCCTGATAACAGGGTCGAACATAACAGAAATTTCTGAATAAAGAATCAGAGTTGTGTGAATGGGGACTCCTTCAGGTAACTGGGAATTTCGTTCACTCTGACTTCTGGAGCGGAGTTGCACATTGTTGGTGGAAATTCCATTTTACGGAATTACTTTAAAGAATACCACAAATTAACAGAGACTCTTAAGGTATTCAGAAAATGAAGTCCAACAGAAGAGAGGAAACAATGCCGTCTCTGGACTAGATGGAAGAGCAAAGTCACTAAAGATACAGGAAGAATAAGGACAAGAAGTTGGAAAAGTAGCAACATCTATTAAACATCTGATATTTCCAGGGCCTTGATACATCACTATCATCTGGTAGATAAAGAACAACATGGGAGAGTAGTGCAGTGTTGAAACTCCCCCTCAAAAGAAATGCAAAATTGTTCCTTAATGAACCCAGAAACATTGCCCTGACCTCTAAGGGATTCCGCTGTGTTAGATAAAAGTGGCATCTTGGGGAAGGTTTACTCCACAAACCTAGTTTCTCTCGTGAATTACTTCTCCAACAGATCTCGTTCAATATTTGACCGGGATAGAGAGGGTCAGGGATGAATGGATCCAATCCATTGTGCTCCTCTGCCAGGAATTTGTCATGCTCTTATTGACTGGGTTGGATATGCACTCAATCCCTGGCGGACTTCTTATAATTAGAATAATAACAATAATAGTAATTCTTACATTTGCTAAATCACCTTTCACGTTGGGAAGATGTTTCAAAGGGCTTCATAGGATATACTGGAGAGTGAACAGAATGTGTCTATTTTTGGGGCAAATGTGGCAGCCAATTTAGGCACAGCAATGTCCCACAAACAGCCATGAAGTGAACAACCAATTCCTGGTGGGAATGCACTGAGTAGTGCCCCTTCCCCAATGGCAAGACAAAACAAGAGAGGTTCAAATGAACAAAATCCTTTAGAACTTTTGATCTCAACCTTGCAAAATACCCACCCTGCCATCTTCTTTTACAGCATCTTGTCGTTTCTTAAATGAGTCCCAGCCTCAACAACCCTGCCTAGTAACACATTCTAGCTATTCATTTCCCTCTGTGTAAAGGCAAGCCAGCAAATGACCAAATAACTCCTAAAATATTAAGAGAGTAGCGTTCAAGGCATGAACTCTGACATAAATTGGATGATATTTACAAGCTAATCGCTCTTGGCTTTTGACACTATCCAAACCCTTTGATTGAATCACTATTTGGTAGCTAACTGCCTTTATTCATATGTATTATCTAAATTGGGTCCAAGTTTTACTGCCTATTCACAGAGAAATGAGAAAAAAAATAAGGCTCTCATGTCGTTATTCTTATTCCTAGTTTAGGCGATGAATTTGAAAGAAAAAAAACAGCAATTAATCTTACTCAAATCCATTGTGCCTGTCTAAGTGTTTTCTGCTGGATACATGAGGTTGTTCCATTAGTTGCTATTGGTAGTTAATGACCTGTGTTAGTGAGGACACAAGCAGATTTGGATGAACGCTGTGAGCCTGCATATCTGTATAGGGAAGTCATTAATCTTCCTACTGACACTGTCGAAGACTTGGCAGGCAGCGTGAGAGGCACACGTGTCAAGCTGCCCCCCCTTCTCACTCAGCAGATACCATTCCTGCTCCTGGGATGAACTCCCTGGTGAGAGGCTACGAACAAGTCCACTGCCTTGAAAGATGAATGTCAGTCTCATCTCCGTCCATGGAAAGAATTATCCTAATCAGAAGCAAATGCTGGCGCCGCCACAAATATTATTATTACATTCCGAGTTGTCCAGAATAATTATCATCATTTGAGGTCATAATAATAATCCTCACATGTAATGTAGCACGTTGATGTATTTCAAAGAGCTCAATAGTTAAATGCAGTGTTTTTTGTAATATAATAATAATCCTTGCATTTGTTATAGAACCTTATCATGCCGTCGAGACATCTTAAAGCGCTTCACAGATATACTGGAAAGTGGATTAACTGTGTATTTTGTGGGTTAAAATATTCACCTTTTAATTTTATTATTTAACAATAATAATCCTTACATTTGATGCAGTGCCTTTCACATCAAGAGGATGTCTTAAAGTACTTTACAAGATTAACTGTAAAGTGTAGTGACTATATTTTCTAGGTGAACACCTACCCTATGTCTACATTATAGTCCATTTAACTTTGTCCCCTGATGTTGCCTGTGGGCAATATAATGGGACAATAATATTTGGAAATTCTACCCCTTTTTCCCTATGTAGTAATGCAGTATAAACATTGTTCTTCAGCACCAATAAGGAGGACTCTTTGGTTTGGCTTTAACCGCACTTCTCTCTCGTAATCCTCTCCAACCTTTAAATACATCAACCCACACGGTTGTTCTTCACCATTTTCACAGGACCTTGGGACTGTAAAACTCCATCTCCCTCAAGTTTGCCTTTCACTTGCAATCTACAGGCTTTTTTAAAAAGAAAAACAAGCTTGGCATCCTTAAAATATATACACAACTTACATGGTGTTTTCCATACAAGCCTCACTGAAGGTGTCTTTACATGGACTAAGATACACATAAGGTATACATTGAATGAATTGCTAGCTTTTACCCATTGTGTCTGTCATATGTATTCCTGCCAGAGGTTAGCTTCTTCACTGTTACTGAATTTTTTAAAAATGATTTGTGACCTTCAATATAAAATACCTCATAAATACGCTTTGGATTATAACAAGAATACCCTCTCACATCTCAAGAAGTACATATTTTGAATGGAAAGTTGTTTCACCTTTCTGAGGGAAGGTCTGGACCTCGGCAATTTCTGAGGATTTTGTTTGCATAATGAAAGGTTGGAGTTTGAATCTATCACAGCTCTCTAAAAGCACAGAGGACGGGAAGTACAGCCAGAATAGACAGTCACACAAAGCGAAGGAAGGAAGGGAGGAAGGGAGGGAGGGAGGGAGGAAGGAAGGAAGGAAGGAAGGAAGGAAGGAAAAAGAAAAGAAGAAACAGAAAAAGAAAAGTAAGCAAGAAATAATTTTGCCATCTGGGTTTGAATACTGAGAGCTCTTCTGCTCCACGCGACCCAGATCCATTAACATTGACCAAGTGCTACTCCGACTGGTAAGCTTCCTTAATTTGTCCCTGTACACAAATAAATATCTCTACTGTAATTCTAACTGTATAACTTAATGTTACATCTACAATGCAACATTTTTTTTACTAGTTAAAATTGCGTTACAATTATTTAGAAGCACACAGGGACAAATTCAGAAAACCTACTGATTGGAGCAGGATAGTGTGTGATGCACAACAAGGAAATTGCAACACACAGTGCGTAGAGAATAATAATCCTCGGAGAACACTTTACTCTGGTGCCTAGCTTTAATTCCAGGGAATGTTCCTCTCTCTGACAGTCATAACGGTCCATGGTGAAATTAGTTAGGTTTGCATCAGTGAAAGAAAGACTCACTCGAACCGGGAGTGAGTGCAGACCACAAAGACTTGGCTAATTTAGTCCTACAATGGAGTCCTGTAGCTCAGTGGTTAGAGCACTCGCTTTGCAAGCGAGAGATCCGAGTTCAATTCCAGGCAGAGGGCGAAACCTTGGGCAAGTTTCCTTACTCCACACAGAGCTTAATAATAATCCCTCCAAAACCAAAAACAATAATAAAAATTGGTCATTTTCAATCTACGACTGTTTGTGGGACATTGCTGTGCGCAATTGGCCGCCGCGTTCACCCACAAATATACAGTCAATTCACTTTACAGTGTGTTCTGTGAAGCGCTTTGGGACGTGAAAAGCGCTATATCAAATGCAAGGATTATTATTATTATTACAGTAATGCACTGTCACTCAAGAGTTGCCAAATGGAAGGTTTGAATGGGAATAATTTATATTGATGCAACTGATCACTGTTATGAGGCTGAGGTTAAGGCATGTATAACTGGGGCAGCAGAGAAGGAGACCGAGGACAATCCCTAGTGTTAGATTGGATTGTTAGAATATGATATATGTAATGAAATGCTTTAAGGCAGGCCTGCATAAAATTGTAAACGGTAAGTTGTTAATCTTGTTTATGTGATCAAAATGGCGGATAACACCATTTTGTACTCAAACCATCACTCAACATCTGTTAATAACATAAGTTGTTTTTGTCTGGTCAAGAAGAAATGGTCAACATGAAATGTTGAAGTAAGACAACCATTGGCCTTGGGAGGATACAAGCTGTTTTGTAGTCAAAACGCCCGGTTCTGGGGATTAAATAGAAGTAACAGTGCGCTTGACTCTTTGCCCAGTCGCGAAAGGCCTTCGTGCCTGATAATTGATTGGATGAACAAAAAGGTATAAAGTTGAAAGGTTGTTGACATAAAGCAGCAGAATCGGCAGAAAACCGGGCACTCAGAGGGCCAAAGCACGCTGACTGCTCCACAACTGGGTAGTATATGGTTTATGTATTCTTGCTGTTTATGCTTATATTTGAATAAACTGAGTTAGCCACAAAACTTTATTGTCTGGTCTTTTGATTTGAATACTGGGAGTTGAGATCCCAACAGGATGAGATATGAGGATAAGCTGCTTTTCAGCCTTGGAAAGAAATGTCTTTCTTTGGAAGAGAGATTAGATTAGAATTAGATTAGAATTAGAATTAGATTAGAATGGATTGAGAAAGTAAAATCTGGAACACTGCTTTCAGATCTGCCCAGGACAAAAGGGTTTAGGGTGGTTATGATTACGATATTTAAGATTCTAAAGGGACCAGATAATGTAGACCATGATAAACTGTTTTATCTTGTACTAAATGGTAGAACCAAAGGACACAGCATGCAAATGGAGGGGGGTAAATTCAGAACAACTCTGCAGAAACACTACTCAGTAAGCAAGTAGTAAACGTATGGAACAGGCTCCCTAGGGAGACAGTGGAAGCAGAAAGTGTCAATTCTTTCAAGAACAAATTAGATAGATTTGTTAGGAAATAATATCTCAGGAAACAGTATATAGTTTAGGACATGACAGGTGCGTGCGACTGCCAGGGTGGTGGAAGGTGAACTGAATGGACCTTGTCTTCTTTCACCTAGGAAATTCTTATGTTCTCATGGTGAAGGGCAAATTTAGGGCAGACACCAGGAAGTATTCCTTTACATAGAGGGTAATCAACAGCTGGAACACATAACTAGGAATTGTGTTTGAGATTAGGATAAAGTGTGACATAATTGGAAGTGGCATTGGGCAAGACTCGAGAACAAGGTAACAACTGGATTTCTAAATCCATTGAAATCCCTTTTAAATGTGGTTACTCAGAGTTCATACATTTTCAACCAGGGCACATTGTTAGCTTAGTTTTGAAACCAGAGCCCAATCTGTAGTTGTAAATCAATAAAGAATACAGAAATATTTTTTTCCTAACTCTAGGAACTAATTACAAGACGCTAACAGTTTGTTGGTATTTCTGCCAAATACAAGATATGAACTGGAAACCCAAATCACTGCAACTTCAAAGGTTAGGCTGTCGCTTTGGATGATTCATCATTCCTACATTAAATTTTCAATTACGTTCTGAAAAATTTCCCTCTAATTTGTCATCCATCAGAGGTTCTCACCAAAATAAAGCCTCACTTTTATATTGATCCATCGACCTAGCCTATATGCTTGTCCCTCTGTTTATGCACATTTCTAATTAGCAAAGAAATCCCATCACCTTGCTATCGACCTTTTAGGCAAGGGACTGAAACTCAAGCATTCCGAAGATTACATTACAGATAAAGATGGACTTTCAGCCAACGATACCGACCCTGCCATAGTCCCATTGCAGCATCAAACTCCAGTATCATCTTGTGATAGGGGGAGCCAGGACCTAATATGTTCCTTCTCTAGCTGGTAAACCCAAGTCAAGTTTCCTCAGACCACTCAAGCTTACATGCAACTTAGCTCATGTCCTGATGCTTTCAAAGAATCTTAGTTGCCAACACACTATAGAGAACCTGTTGATCTTAACAACAAAGTCCAGACCAGAATAAAGGAAAGCCTAGCCTGCCCACCAGCTCAACAACAACAGCAGCAAATTACATTTGTATTGCAGCTTTCAAATCAGGAGGACATCGCAAGGTGCAGGGCAATCAGGGATCTGCACCCAAGCTGGTGGTTGGGATCGGGACGGGTGGAGGGTGGGGAGGGGAAGGGTAGGAGGGTGACCAAAGTCACGGTCGAAGAGGAGGGTCTTGAGATGGATTCTGAAGGAGGCAAGGGAGTAGGGGGTGAGGTGGAGGGACTGTGGGATGGAGTTCCAGAGGGTGGGGGCAGAGAGGCTGAAGGCCCGACCGTCGATGGTGGGGCGGGCATGGCGGGGGACATGGAGCAGGCCGGAGTCCATGAGAAGATCTTGGATGGAAACCATACAGTTGACTGGAACTCCCACTCTAGCTGACACTGCAGTACAGCATTGAGGGAATGCTGTATTGTCAAAATGTTTTGAATGAGCTCATAAACCGAGCTTTTGTTTGCCTGGACCCTATTTGAAGAGAGAAGTGTCCTGGCCGACAATGTCACAAATCAATTCTTCGTTCACCTCATGGCTGTTTGTGGGATCGTGTTGACGCAATTGCTGCCACGTTTATCTATAAAAATAGCCACGATACTTGACAGTAATTACCCACGGAGACATTTTGACGTGATAATGCCCTATCAAGTGCAAGTTCTTCTTTATGCCTCTTGGCATTTGATAGACAGGATGGTGATTAACAGGCAGAAAGCTTCTCTGCTGTGTCATCCAAACAAAATCGATCATGAAAAACCAAGTCTTTTGACTTAATGTCCTCCAGTGCTGGTAACCTGGTTGAATGGGATTCCTAGCCAGCAGAGTAATGCCATCAAGTGAAAGCAAAAGGCTGCCAACAAGCTCTTTAAAGCAGTTAATGACCCCTTTCAGGTAAATAAAATACTTCTGTTTAACACCTTCACAGTGTCATCCAAAACAACATGATTCACTCAAAGAAGGAAATTGCTGGAAAATGCATTTAGCAGTTGGTCATTCACTTCATGGATGTTGTGGGACATTGCTGTATGAAAATTGGCTGCCGCATTTGCCCACAAAATATACAGCCACTACACTTTGCAGAAACTTCGTGAAACACAATATCCTCTGGAACGTCCATGGCCATAATGTCAGAGTGTCACCAGGGTAATAGCATACATAGAGTTGCACATAGAGGAGGGGACTCTGATAGTCTTGACGTTGTATGTGCTATATCAAATGCAAAGAATTATTATTTATGGTGCAGCAGGTAAGGTGGCTTGTATCGCACAATCTTTAGTGGCAGCTCAACTATCTGATGCTGCAACAAACGTTCCTGTATACTGTGTTCTCAGGTCTTATCTAGTGAGGCCTCCTTATTGTACGAAGACGCAGAAGATGATTCAGCAACACTGACTTCATTGTTCTACTGAAGCAATGAAAAGCATCCAAAAAGATTATTCTTGACCCAAAGCTCTCTGGAACCAGTTGAGCTGTATGTCTACCCTCGCCATCTTTTGCTTACCTCATTACCTTATCATCTCAAAACACAACAGAAGGATCCTCAGCATGTCTTTGGTTTTTACGTGAAGCTGTATGAAGCATTTGGGATTTTCAGGAGGAACTCGACAAAACGTTTTGTATTGACTTCCTTGGGATGTCCTCCTGATGTGAAAGGCACCATATAAACGCAATTTATATGCGTTATATTTGCTGTTAACTTTCTTGAGGTGGTACAAAATTCAGCAGCTCTTGGTATGGGCTCATGATGTATCGTACCTGCCCTAAATGTTTCCTGTAACTGCACGGGAGAGATGGAGAGAGAGCGTGGGAAAGACATGGAGTGAGCAAAGGAGAGAAATTCAGAGAGTGTGGGAGAGATGGAGAGAGAGATGAAGAGTGGGAGAGCTTGAAAATGAGTTGAGATAGAGTGGGAAGAGATGGACAGAGAGTGGGAGAGAGATTGAGAGCGCGTGAAAGACAGATTGAGATAGAGTAGGGAGAGGTGGCGAGAGAGTGGGAGAGAGAACATGGGCAAGAATGGCCCCCTCTGATAGGTCTTGTTGTTGGTGTCAGTAGTCCAGAATGTGTTGATGTTAAAGTCTACTTTAGTTAGTTGTGGAGATTATGCCTAGGGATTGCCACTCACCTCTGTGGGTTTGGTGACGCACTGTCCCTTCCCAGAGCATTGGAGAGAGACGCCATCTTTCCTTTGGTCTTCACAGTTAATGGGTTTCACCAGCACATTCAGCCTCAGAGCCATCACTGAGCCTCGGAACGAATCATTCACAAGGGCTTGAAGAAAGAATCCGGGGAAAAAAGTATTGTAAGAATTATTTTGCCGGAATCAAAAACAACATTACATTTATATTGCGCCTTTCACGTCGGAAAGACATCCCAAAGCTCCGATATCAGTGGCTGATGATTTAAACACAATTTTCACCCTCGATAGTTTTCATTTCAGATTCTGAAAATTAAAAGCCGCTATCCAAATCTCCAGCCAAGGCTGATAGCCTGAAAATAAATTGGGCCAAAAATATATCCCTCCAGGTATCAACAGACAAGGGGAAGAACTGTGCCTCATGCAGATAAAGTAAGTCATGCCCCACTTACTGGAATCCGTCCATTCTTTATGTGCTCTGTTATCAGCCTTGGCTCAGGATATATAAATAGAAACCTTAAATGCAAGTGCATTGATCCTGGGCAAGGACTTTTCCATTAACAGGCCGTTGTTTACTGAAAGCCATTCTCAAAGTCACTGGGACAGAACAGATACTTTCCCCATGACCTGTCTTGCTATTAATCTGTGTTTAAAAAGGCACATTGGCCTACAAAATACATGGTCCAGTTATAGAGACCATGAGACTAACCCCATCCCTGATGGCAAACTGCAGACCACCCCACCCCTGAAAGTAATTTAGTGGAACATCATGAAGCAGTCTAAATTTCTTTCATAACCAGTCAGTGATGCAGTGTTTTGTGGTGAATGCAATGTTGGCAGAATTGCTATCCAGCATTAGAAACATGCCCGTAACTGTTTAGATGAACGGTACACCCAAATTATAAGCGGTAAATGGTTTAAGATTATTCTCGGGCAGCTTGCCAGCTCCTCATACAAAATATTCTCAGTGTGGTGGGGGGGCGAGCTCCTTTCATGTGCACCACAGCATGACAATATAATCCTTCATAAAAATAAAATAATCTTTGCGCTTGACCTTGTGCCTCATCACCTCATCAAAATGGCTCAAAGATCTTCACAGGATTTTCCGTAAGTGTAACGACTCTATTTTGGAGACATACGAGGCAGCCAATTTGCACACGGCAATTTCCACACAGTCATGAAGTGAATGACCAATTTTATTTGGGCCAGGACACCAAGAGAAACTCTTTTTCTCCCTCCCCTTGTCAAATAATGCCACAGGATCTTTAACAAATAAACAGTCATTACATTTTACAGAAAAGCTTTAACACACATTTTGAAGACAAGTTAAGGCACAACATCCAATGCAAAGATTATTATTATAACTCAAATTCACCTACCCCCAAAACAGTATTATTTCATATCTAGAAATAAAACAACGGCAAAACTGATTATTACTCTCTCATTTAAAAAACACTCCTGAATATTTGTTCTCTCATCTAAATAACAAATCCCTGGGAACAAACACTCCTCTCGTCTTTATAATTGCCTATTAAAATGATTCTCTGGGTAAGGGCCCATTTAAAATCATGAACTGAAGCTTCTTAACAAGGATAACATTGCAGGAATAGCATCTGTGTCAAAGAGTGGGTTAATGCAGTTATATAAAGGCTAATTAAAGAGAATGCTTTCTCTTTCTCTCTTGAAAACACCATCTTCTGCTGAGGTACAGTGGTTATGCGTAATGGACATCTTTGATAACATGAGCGAGCCCTTACTATGAGTATCTGCTAAACCAACTAACATTTTATTTTCCCTATTAAATGGTTGCTCTTGTTTAATAACAGTAACAACTTTCATTTACTTTGGGTAGGATACTGTCTAGAGCTCTTTACAGTTCCTGGGCTGATCACTGAACAGGGGAGAGGGGAGCAAGGGGAAAAGGTAAATTTTAAGGTGGAATTTAAAGACAGGTTGAGAAGGGATGTGGCGGAGGGATCAAGGGAGGGAATTCCAAAGGTTAGGTGTTTGATGGTGGCATGGATAGGGTAGGGATCGTGGAGCAAGACCATGTTAACCAAGCAGAGGGGCGAGCAAGGGAGTGAGGTGGGAAGAGATCAGAGAGATATGGAGGTGCTAAAGTATGAAGAATTGAACCATGAATGGAGATTCAACTAGTAATGGAGGAATTTCGGGATTCTTAAAGATGGTTTGTAGTTACAGTGTAGCCACTATAATTGGCCACAGTGCCTCAGGTTAAGGCGAGAAACTTTAGCCTAGGTACGTACATCTGATTGCTTTCCAGAAACCTATTGGAAGGTGTCTTGTGTGAGTGCAAGGAGAGGACAGCACCTGACTTGGTTACGATGGTCAGTTAACATGCTTAAAAGGATCTTCAGGAGAGACGGAGAAATTGGTGGCAAAAGAAAGAAAAGATGATGCTTCTAGGACCAATATTATGTATGCAAGAGCTTTGCACCAACTTGTGAATGTACTAAATTTAGACACAGAACACAGATAGGAATTCATCATATCCCGAGGACAATTGTAAAAGACGAGAATAATGAGCATTTTCATGAATATTAATGTACAAGCATTATTCCCGTGGGCTGCAAAGAGAACTGCTGTACTCTGGGAGTCAGAGTCACTACAAAACATCATTGCTATTTGAAGCACGTGAATAACAGTGAAACCCGAAGTGCAGGCTTGCTGAACTCTCGCACAGTTTATTCCCAATGCAATTATCATCATTAAACTGTTATTTTGCTTACAAAAGGCTCAGTTAGCCTCGTAATTTCAGGGGTATGACGAGACAGTTTGAAAACTGTAGGGTTTTTTTCCTTGAAGCCGCAAAACAGGGTGGGTTTGGAGAGGAGATGCTTAGACTGAGGCCAATGCTATGGATTAGACTGAGGATTACAGTGGGTGGGAGATGGGGGGTGGGGGGGTGGGGGAGAACTCTCCACTTGATTCCGAGCTGCTCCTGCTCTCTGTCCCCCACCCATCTCATGTCCCACTGCTCTCTGACCCCACCAACTTGCCTCATCTCGTCTCCCACTGCTGTCAGCCTCCGAGTTGCCCTGATTCCACACTGAAATCCCACACATACCAATACTGGAGGCTGCAATGTGAAGGCAGCCGTCACCCTTTTGCCCCTGCAAAGGTTGAGGATGCTCAGAGTTTACCCGAGACGTGTTGGGGCAGTGTGATTATCTGCAACAGACTGCAGGCTGGCTATGTCTCATTTATTCTCAATCGAAAACAGGCCCAGTATTGGTTTTGGCAGTGAATGTTGGTACCATCTGCAGGGAAATAGTACGGAGCCAAGCAGTAAATGTGATTATTTCCAGTGAAATTGCTAGTTTACTTCTTAGCTGCAATTGACTAACTGCTCAGCCACAGCCAAGTGGCTCCATCACACCACAGCCAGGTTTTAAACTGATTCAAAAGGATAAATTGAGCATGATATGCAGCACTGTTTAACAGTGAGGTTCCTACATTAACAGCTCATGGAAGGGATGCAACGCAAGAGTTCCAATCTTTAAATCCTGCTTTTGTGGACAGTAATAATAATGTTTCCTTTTGATAAAGTGCCTCATCACCAGCACTTTAGGACATCCTCCAGATGTGAAAGCCGCTCTACAAATGTAATTTGCTATTGCTGGGACATGTCAAAGTGCTTCACAGAACACACTGTAAAGTGAATTGACTGTATTTTGTGGGCAAAATGACCAATTGAGAGACCATTTTTTTTTAAAGAGATTATTATCCCCCTGTACCTCAGCAGAAGATGGTGTCTTCAATGTGCCGATCAACTAACAACCAGGTTCCTACTTACTGCTTAGTAAACAGAGGCGTGTGGAGTAAGGAAACTTGCCTAAGGTTTCGCCCAGCCCGGGATTCGTGTTCAAATCCGTTCCCTCCCTGGCACCTCTCCACCTCTCCAACCTCCTCACTTCCCAATCCACCACCCGGCTCCTCCGCTCGGCTGGCACTGGGCTCCTGCTCATCCCTCACACCCTTCGCCCCACCATCAGAGGTCATGCTTTCAGCCACTACACGCCAAAATCTCTCTCTCAATCCCTCTGCCTTGCCCCCTCTCACCCCTCTTTCAAGTTCCGCCTGAAAACTTTCCTCTTTGACCCTGTTTACGACCACCTCCCCTCTCCCCCCGGCTTGGAGTCAGGTTCCGCCACTGTTAAGCGCTCTGAGACGCTATCCTTCATGGAGGGCACTACATAACTGCTGGTGGTGCTGTTGATTCGAACCTGGGTCCTCTCACTTGCAAGGTGAAAGCACTAACCACTGAGCTACAGGACAATGGGTTTAAAATGTACGCTTTCTAATGGTTTTTTAAAAAAGGAAATTGAGTCCACGTGGATGACTTTTCAGTTAAGCAGCGGCATGACCAGCTGGAGGAACCCTGACACGCTGTAGAGGCATTCCCGCACTGGTCCGAGAATTCTGATGGGATTCCTTACGGCAGCTGGACAATGAGACAAAGAGAGTGACATGCACTCAGCCACTCTGGGACAAGAAGGGGGAAAAGAGAATAATTGGTCAGCCCTCTGTCATCTTACCGATGAAATAGTTGTTCCCCAGAGACAATATCTCCTCCGACAGAACAAATCCATCGGCAGCCTGAAGAGGGGCAACGTTTTTTCCGTTTGCAAGAGAACAGAGTTGGAATTCCGCCTCGGAGATGTTCCAGAATTCCAGAGCAGCACTGTCCCCACTCAGCACGACCCTGGCCACAGACAGACAGACAGACAGACAGAGAATAAAGAAATGCTGTTTTTTTTAAAATGTGTCCAGTCTCCTAGCCTCACCTGCTCTGCTACGAATGGACAGACACTGAGTCCAGTGCAGAGATGAACATTCTAACATAGGAAATCTGCATTGAGATCAGCCAATTATGCAAAAAATCAGCGTTAAACCCCCCCCCCCTTGCTTACTTTAGCGATGTCTTCTCTGGTATTTCAAGACTTGGCGGCTGGTTGTTGGAGGAGATGTTGAGATTTCTGTTCATGCAGATCAAATTCAAGGAATTGTTCATCTGGTAAAAGAGAAAAAAAAAAGTTTCAATTATTAGCTCATTGGAGATGTCCCGGATCCAGTGGAGGGGGATTTAACCATAGATAAGCAACCCATAAAAATAATAATAATCCTTGCTTTTGATATAGTGCCTTATCACGTCATTGAGACCTCCCAAAGCACTTCACAGAATATATTGTAAAGTGGATTGACCGTGTATTTTGTGGCAGCAGCCAATTGTGCACAGCAACGTCTCACAAACAGTCGTTGATTCAATTTTTTTTGAGGAATCATTACCCCTGGATATTGATCTGCCAATTGACTGACAACCGGATTCCTACTTACTTGATAAACAGAGGCGTGTGGAGTAAGGAAACTCATGCAAGGTTTCGCCCTGCATGGAAATCAAACCTGGGTTCTCTTACTCACAAGGCGAGAGCTATAACCATTAAGCTACAGGACTCCACATAGACCCATAGATCAGCAACCCAGCCGAGGGACACTGCTGACCACAGATACATGGGCTTGGCGTGACATGCTGAGTGAACATTTCAGATGGCATTTTATCACCGCAGGCTCTCATAACAGCAAAGACCAAACACAGGAGATTCATAACATGCGACACTGAAATAACATTGACAGAGATACTGCATACACATTGTGACACCAAACTACTGTTTTCTTTTGTTTGTTTTATGTGTTCGTTCAGATGCTGTGGAGCTCGCTTTTAATTGCATTGTTGTTTAGCAAAGGATTGGGAATGATGGCAGTTACAGAAGCGAAAGCTTTGTACTCAGTCGTAGCAGCAAGCTAAAGACTGATGGAACGTACAGGCCCATCTGGAGCTGAATGTAAACTGCTCGGCTCCATTTAACTTAACAGCCATCTCAGGGGAGACCTTCCACAAGCTGTCAGGATTGGATTCAAGGCTGGGTTCCAAAACTGTAAGGACAAAGATGCATCAACACACTCTATCCAGCACCAGTCCCCCATCAGAGAGAGGTAGATGTTAATAATTTGCTCTTGTATAGCACCATTCATATAAGAGAGTGTCTCAAATGCATTATGCGCACCATGGGGATCACCAAGAAGGGTGAGAAGGCGTCTGAGGAAGTTGAACAAAGGTACTATGAAAGAAATCCCATTTTATACCTTCGCCGACAAAATATACAGTTAATTCACTTTACAGCCTATTCTGTGAAGCGCTTTGAGACGTCTCAAAGATGGATGGATGTGTGTTCTGAAATACTGCGTAACCCTCCTTGAATTCATTTTATCTAATAATAATAATCTTTACATCTGGAATAAGTACCTTTCACGTCATGAGAAAGTATCAAAGCTCTTCACGGGATATTCTATAAAGTGGAGTGACTGTGTATTTTGTGACAAACGCAGTAGCCAGTTTGCCCACAGCAACGAACCGCAACCACACATGAAGTGATAGCAGACCTGAGCTCATAACCAAAAAAAAAAGGACATTGTTCCTTCTGCTGAGGGATTCCTGCAGCCGCTTGCTGGAGTGATTTGGGACGATGCAATCTCCACACAGCAACTTGGGGTTGGTTTGCACGTGGGTACATCTCCTTACCTGTTAACCAAAGCCAATCGCTCTTTTATTAAAACAAGAATCCCCATGCGCTCAGCACTTCATGCTTGGGCAGCCAACAGCTGGTGCTCACTAACTGTGCAGTCCTTGTGGCTACCCACACACCCCACCCCCCCAACCCATCTCTGAGGGCCACAGAAGCCTCTGCGGTTTTGTCAACAAAGCTCATTAACATGAAGAATTGGTACAGCTCAGGGAATGCGCAAGAGAGAAAAGAGACAAAATGAGAATACTGTACTCTTATTTTTTTAACCCCATGAGCTCTGTAATTTAAATCTGAAAAGAACTTACTGAAATTAAAGAAATGACTCATAATTTAATTCACACCTAAATAGATTTTAAAGTAAAAGGCTTTCCGGTTAATAAAAAACTCTTTCATGTCCTCCTTTTTTATGACAAGACTTCCTGTGAAGCGCTTTGAGACGTCTCAACGACATGATAAGGTGTTATATCAAATGCAATATATAATATTATTGTTACAAGACCTTGTAACTGATCACATCAGAACATCTCAAAGCATTTTCAATAATATGGTACATCAGTGTGGTGTGTAGGAAGGGATGTGCTATATCAGGGAGGAGGTGGGGGGGTGCAACAACTACTTTAATTTATATAGCATTCTTCAGTCGAGTGGCATCTCCATGAACTGAACAATGGCATAGTCGATGTCAAGCCAGGGAGAAAGAGGTGACCGTAGGCATGGTTGAAGCGGAAAGACTTCAGGTGCGATTTAAAAATGGACAAAATGGGGACAACATGAAGGCAATGAAGCAGTGAGTTATAATGATAATCCTAATAATAATCCTTGCATTTGGTATAGCCCCTTATCACATCTTCAAGAAGTCTCAAAGCACTCACAGAATATTCTGTAAAGTGTAGTGCTGTGTATTTTGTGGGAGTTCCAGAGGCTTGTGGCGTCGTGGCTGAAGTTACAGCCACTGATGGTGGTCGAGAGACGTGCAGAAGGTCCAAGCCAGCCAAGCGGACAGAGTAGGGGTGAGAGCAGGCTGGGGAGGCAGGAAGTTGTCAGGGCATGAAATGATTTGTAGGTGAGTTGGAGGGTCTTGAAATCGATCTGTTCGAAAACAGGTAAAGCCCCTGGTTTTCTTACTGCAGCTGTTACTGGCGTCAAAGTTGTTTTTGTGTTTCTATCAAACAGGTTTGGAAGCCAACTTTCTGAGTCAACAGCTACGGTTGGAGATGACTTGCTGTTACGACTTCCCTTTCCTCTTGTGTTGGCGAGTTTGTTCTGGCGTTTGTAGGTAGTTTTGTGTAACAGCAGCCTTACCTTGGCTGACAACCTCACTGCAGATTGAGCTATGATAGAGAAGTAATTATGCCTTGCGTTTGCACAGCTAAAGGCAGAACTCAGCAGACGAGGTGAATGTCAGCCAGTGACGCAGACGCTTTTGCTTTCAGCGTATTGCTGTGTGCGAATGTCAGTGACCTGTTCCTTTCAGCTGGCACCAGTTTGAGAGTTCCACTCAGCCAGACAACCCAAACGTTAGCAGTAACCCTTTTGCTCCCAAAACCCTTCGGTGGGAAAGAAACTCCATGCAAACCACAGACGCCAGATTTCCCTGTTCCCCCCAAATTAACATTTTTTTTGCTGTAACATTTCTCTGAGCGACTCAGAATGCAATGAGCAGTTTTATGCCTTTTTCCAACCAAACAAGAACAACAACAAGATTGCATTTATACAGCGCCTTTCACGTCGGGAGGACGGCCCAAGGCGCTGGACAGTTGGGTTGGGATCCGAGCAGGGGGGAAATGGTCAGGGCGAGGGGAGGGAAGGGAGGGAGCGAGGAGGGGGTAGAGAGTCGAGAGGGGAGCTGAAGGCACGGTTGAAGAGAAACGTCACAGTCTTCAGAAGATTTAGCAGCGGTTCCTGAATGTTACCGGAGAATTATATGTAATGCTACATTTCGAAGCTCAGTAAAATTTTCTTTATAAAGTTACTTGATAATTCATAGAATCTTACAGCACAGAAGGAGGCCATTCGGCCCCTTGTGCGTGTGCCGGCTTTTTGAAAGAGCTACCAGCTAGTCTTCCTCCCTCGCTCTTATCCCATAACCCTGCAAATGTTTCCTTTTTAAGCACCTGTTCAATTCCCTTTTGAAAGCTATTATCGAATCTGCTTCCACCAATCTTTCAGGCAATGCATTCCAGATCATAACAACTCTTTATACCAGGACACTGACATGCTGCACCCACAGTGACAGGGAACTCGGCTCTGCAAAAGAACTTTCATTTTTAAAGTGCTTTATGTCAACAAGGTCTCTAAGCCCTTTGCTAATTAGTGTTAAGTGTAGTGACTGTTTTTTGTAGGCAAACGCAGGAATCATTTACACACAGCAAAGTCCCACAAATAGCCATCAGGTGAGTTCCCTATTAATCTGGAAGATTGTCGGCAAAGATACTGGGATAAAGTCCAGTCTCTTTTGAATAGCGCCTCAGGATCTTTAACATCCACCTGAACAGGCAGAAGAGACCTCGGTTTAACTCATCTGAAGGATGGCAACGGCACCTCCAACAATGCACCCACCCTCCCCACCCCACCACTGCACTGGAGAGTCAGCTTAGACTATGTGATTCTACGTCCCGACGTGGGACTTGAACCCACAACCTTCTGACTCAGAGGCAAGGTGCTACCTCTACGCCAGGCTGTCACACGGGCTGGTTCGGAGCAGGAGGGTGAGCTCCTGAAGGAGAAAAACACGTTAATGATTCGGAGACACTACTTCATCAGGATTGAACCAGTGGAGCCGTGAGACTTAATATTCAGTGAGAAGCTAATGTCCTGACCCTGTTCTGGTTGTTCTGCTCTTTGTTAGACAGCTGCTGAGATAATTGGCTGGAGAATTATTCAGGCGATGTTCTCTGATGAATCCTTATTGTGTTGTTCTCAAGCCACAGAGCCAGGGTGGGTGGCAGTGCTCTGCAGGCAACCTTTGCAAACCTGTTTTCAGCAACCGCTCAGCGGTCTGGACCAGAATGGCCTTTATATAATGGTGGCCTCTGAGGAAGGTTTCATTGGTTCGTTGACTGGGCCCAATTTTTAGAAAAAATTTCCGCGGAGCAAAGATTTAAGCGGAACCGAGTACAAGCTCTCGCTAGACTCCCAACCCATTTACCGAGGCACTGAGGTGAGGAACTGTGGACATCACCTGGGCTGCTCCGTGCAGTGTTGGTAAATGCGCGAGAAGGCTAGCGGGAGTGTCCACTCAGGCCTGCGGAAATTGGTAAGACATTACCGGTAAGTACACCTCTAATCACTTAGAACTGACCAATGAAAAGGGTGTAAAGTGAATTGACTGCATATTTGGTGGAAGAAACACAGTAGCCAATTGTGCACAGCAGTGTCCCACAAACAGTCGTAGAATGAGTGACGAAATTATTAGTTTTCTTAAAAAATTATCCCCAGAAAAGCGATCCACCAATCGATTGACAACCTGGTTCCTTCTTACTGCTAGATAAACAGGGGAGTGTGGAGTAAGGAAACTTGCCCAAGGTTTTGCTCTGCCGGGACTCAAACCCAGATCCTCTCGCTTGCAAGGCAGGTGCTCTCAACAATATGCTACAGGACTCCACTATTCAGTCTCTCAGGGGTGAAACAACATTTTTTGTTTGTATTGACCTGGGATAGCACGGGACTATTGATGTCCAGTTGAAAAAAATTCACCTGAAGTATTTCACAGACTGAGCTCCAGTGGTCACTGGGGAGTGGGAAAGCGCAGCTTAATTTTTACCGGCTTCGATTTATTGTTTGAAAAACTGGTAAAATATTAAACAAGTCAATAAAAACATCTCATATCTCATATCTCCATTTATCTTCAATAAAAACCAAACAATACCTTGGAGAAACTGTGGTATTGAAATTGTATCCACTGTTTGAGATGTGCTCTGGCTATTGGGGTGGTTGCCATGGCAAACAAACCCCAGGGATTTACTCCGCAAATCGTTCCGTTCAGTTAAAGAGACAGCATCAGGACACTGAGCACCAGCCTCGAGTTCGCAAGCGCACAAACACTTGCGGCAACAGGGGCTGTGTGCAACGTGCGTGGAGATTTACTGCACGGAGGCAGCAAAAAGCAATCGTCTCCCTGTTCTCGTGGTTCTGTGTTGGTCCTGTTAGCTCCTATACAAGGTACCCACAGCAGCCAAGCAGTGAGAACGCACAGCAACGGTATCAACTTGCTCGCGTCTCACATGGGTTTATAAATGGCGCAACGTAGCTGTACAAATAGAAGAGTCATCTTTCAGCTGTAATAATATTAATAATCCTTACACTCGATTTAGTGTCTTTCACATCAGAAGGACATCTCAAAACGCTTCACATAATTTACTTTAATGTGTATTTTGTAGGCAAGCATGGCCGCCAATTTACACACACCAATGTCCCTCAAACGGCCGTGAAGTGAATGACCAGTTTTATCTGGGGAATTGACTGCCCTGCACTGGAGTTTCAGCCCAGACTGTACGATTCGGAAGGCCCAACATGGGGCTTGAACCCACAACCTTCTGATTCAGAGGTGAGAGTGCGACTGTTGTTGGAAAAGCTTATCACGAAAACTAAACTGAGGCAGAGAGGCAGGCTCAGTAGAATTATAGTATAGTCTGCAAGTTCAGGTAGACTCAAAGAGAAGGAAGTTTCTCTCTGTGTCTTGGCCAACAACCTCTACCCCATTAAAAAAATTGGTCATTCACTTCATTGCTGTGTGCAAATCGGCTGCTGTGTTCATTTACAAATACACAGTCATTACGCTTTACAGTAGTGCTTTGAGACGTCTCAACGACATGATAATACACAATATAAAATGCAAGGATTATTATTCTATTACTATATATTCTGTAAAGCACTTTCACTCTTCCCCATTATGTGAAAACCAAATGTAAAGATTATTATTCTTTATTATTATAGCAATGACAGCACAGGAAACCCATTTGGCCCCTTAAGTCACGCGACATTTTTACAACAACTTACATTTCTATAGCACTCCTCACGCAGGGTAGCGTCCCAGAGCACTCAAGAGCATGATGCTGAGTCGGAGGGAGGGGGAGGTGACCGTAGGCGCGGTCGAATAGGAAGGTCTTCAGGCGCGACCTGAAGAGGTGGACGATATATCTGACGACAGTAAATATATGTCTTACCTCTTTCACATCCCAGGTGAGGTTGACGACCTTGTGACCCGGTTCGGGTTGCCATGGGGCCAGGGTGATGGCTGGTTGCCAGGAGGGGGTGGTTGCGTTGGGCTGAGGCGATGTGTTAGCCGGGCTGGGCTGCCATGGCAGCGTGGACTCGGTCCAGCTGGGGGCGGGCGTCTGGAGCCCCGCAGGCTGGTCGCAGGCCTCGCCCCGATACCCAGCCTCACAAGCACAGTCGTAACCTTGGGCATGGCTAGTGCAGTTGCCGTGAGAACAGGGATTGCTCGCACAGTTGTCTATTCGGTCCTGAAGGAAAAAAGAACAAGTTAAAGTCAGCTTTCCCGCAAAAAGACAAAAGCGTTGTGACCTTTGAGAAAGTCCCAAATCCTTTAGGCTCACACACCACCACCACTAAGGAACAGAGGAACAGGAGTAGGCCACTCAGCCCATCAAGCCTGTTCACACCATTCTACTAATTAGATCATCGCTGATCTATACCTCAACTTTGTGTACAGTTTTGGTCTCCTTATTTAAAAAAGGACATACTTGCCCTAGAGGGGGTGCAGCGTAGATTCACTCGGTTAGTTCCTGGGATGAGGGGACTGACCTATGAGAATAGGCTGAATAAACTAGGGCTATATTCTCTAGAGTACAGAAGAATTAGGGGAGATCTTATTGAAACACATAAGATTCTTAAAGGGCTGGATAAAGTGGACACTGAGGGTCTGTTTCTCCTGGTATCTATAACCAGGGGTCACAGTCTTAAAATTAAGGGTCAGCCTTTTAGAACAGAGTTGAGGAAACATTTCTTCACTCAGAGGGTAGGGAATTTATGGAATTCACTACCCCAGAAGGCTGGAGATGCTCAGTCCTTGAACATCTTCAAGACTGAGACTGATAGATTTTTAAAAAATAGAGGGATTAGGGGACATGGGGATAGGGCAGGTAATTAGAGTTAGGTCTGGAGATCAGCCATCATCTTATCGAATGGCGGGGCAGGCTCGAGGGGCTGAATGGCCTACTCCTGCTCCTAATTCTTCTGTTCTTATGTTCCATTTATTCGCCTTTGCTCCATATTCCTTGATACCCTTATGTGACAAGGCTGTCAAACAATATGACACCCTTGTTATGTAAGGATATCAAGTCTTGAAAAACTTTCAAGCTTTAATTGATCCAGCATCCACAATCTTTACACAAGGGAAAAATTTTACACCGAGAAACCTCTGGCAGAACAGCCTCGAAGGTCAATGGACCAGAAGACGAGACAATTCAATAAGTGGTAGTTTGGTACTACCAGGCTTGATATTCTACACCCAATTCCCCACCACCCTGAGGACAACTCCCAGCCCGGGCCCGCTGGCTAGCCCATTGCCCTAGTGGATAGGGTGGTCCGAGCTTGCCAGAAAATGATATCAATGGCAAGCTATGTGGTTTTAGCTGGTTAGAGTCAACGCACACTCTGAGGTCCCCAAACCTTGGCTCTTGCCAACCTACGTCTAATACTTTCCAGAATTAGATAAGCAGGATGTGCATATTCCATGCTAACAATCTATCCGTGGAATTTCCATGTGTAGGTGGGATGCATGGAATTCTCAGTTTGGTTTGGATACTCTTAAATATGGTGAGGGTTTCCGCATGTGTCAGACCTCTGGCTGACCAACAAAAAAACATTGTGACAAAGAGACCAACCCAGTGTCAGTGGATGTCACGTTACTCCCACCAGGATGTGGGATAAAACATACCTTCTGACACCAAATAAACAAGAGAGAGCGACTGAAGCCTCGGGGAAGGTTGAATATTTATCTTCTCAATGGTGGGAAGTGAAGAGCAGGGAGAATACCTAGAGATGAGAAAGCTTGGGTTCCAGACTCACTCACTCCCTCTTTTTCTCTCCCTCTTCCACTGTCTTGTTCTCTCTCTCTGTTTTCTCACTCCCTTTCTCTCTCATGTCAAACTCACTCCTAATTTTCATTCTCCCACATACTGCCTCGCTCTGTCTTTCTCGCTTTCTCTCTACCATGCATTTTTTCACTCACCCACTCTCATTCTTGCCCTCTCATTCACTCTCCTTCTCATTCATTGTCCTGCTCACTCCGTCTCATTCCCTCCCCTTCTCCCACTCACTCCCTATCATTCACTCGTTGTCTTGTGCACTCGTTGTCTATCTCTTTCTCAGTCTTACGTACTCTCCCTCTCACTCATTCACTGTCTGTCTCTCAATCTCACTCACTATCTCATTGATTGTCTCTCTGTCTCTCTCTCTCACTCACTCGGTCCTGTGTCTCCCTCTCTCCTTCTCTGCAGTTTTTTATTACGGCCCCAATTACATCAAATGAATCTTGGTGCTGAGGCAAGGTCACATTAACACAGTTGCCAAGGCGACAGGCCGTACTCATATCAGCTCAGGAAAACACTGCAGACTGCCTTTGTGCGCGCAGCCCATTTATTGAGAAAAGAGAAAGGTTGGAGCCTATTTTAGTTGTTGTCTCCTGTGACTGCTCGCAGCAGAATGGTGAACAGAGCTTCATTAAGAAGAGTCACGTAAACAAAGCAAGGTCATTTGTCTGCCTCCATCGCCATCTTTACCACAAGCTGAAATCACCGTGGCAACCATCATGTGGGCTACCCGACCAACATACCTTTACATAAGATCAAAAGCACAGGTTAAACAGCCTTGTTTTTCCTTATGAAGAGCTGGGGAGAACATATTCTGGATCAAATGGGCAGAAAGGCATCTTGGGATGCCCAACCAGAGAGGTGAGGCTGGTCATACAATGATCACTGATGAGAGGGTTTAGTCACATGCTAACACATGGATTTCTCCATTTGCAATCAGTGCGCGTTATATTCCATAGCAACCCAATGTGTGCTGTGGAATATTGGCGATATACTCACCACAAACAAGAGAGGGCACTGTGCCAGTGTGCGTTACAAACGTTCAATTCACCTTTCAACCCCCACCCAATTTATCCAGAAATGTGCTGGAGATATGGCCAGTTAATGGGATGGTGAGAAAAAACTGAGAGAGTTACTGGGAGTTTTCAGGAGTTAATAATAATCCTTGCATTTTGCTGTGACAAAGCCACTTTATTTTCCTCTCACAACACGTTTCTCACGTTGTCCCAGAGCACTTTACAAGGTCAGCGATGGATGCCAAGCAAGGAAGAGATGAGGGGGTTGGGGGGGGTTCTTCCTTCTTTCCTAAACCCATCACGATGCCAAGAATCTCTAAACCAACCAAACTATTGAGAATCCTGCATACTGACTGTGGTTTCTGTCTGCTTGGCATGGAATGAGCATTCTCTCCCCAAAGGGACACATCCTGCACAACCTAATCCCAGAGTTGGCAAGAGTCAATGTTTGGGGACCCCAAAGTGTATATTGGGGTACTGGTGAATTTTAACCAGCTTAAACATTGCCACTGCAAGGGGACAACAATTAACCAGTAATTCTGATACTCGATCACGATTCTGTGCTCTCCCTTAGTTGCCTAAAATAATCCTTGTAGTTGATCGGAATGTCTCAAAGCATTTCACAGTTTTCTTGAAGTGCAGTGACTATGTATTTGTAGGCAGACATGGCAGCCAATTTTACATACTGCAATGACCCACACATGGTCAAGAAATGAATGACCAGACTGCACATGTTGAGTGAGGACTAGATCAGGTTTGACTAAGGTTGGACAGCCCTTCACTGGTCCCGTCATAGATGAAGAAAGGGTGACCTAGATGGGAACCAATGGAGCCCTCCCTACTCCAACTATATGGACAAAAAACAGTCTGCCGTGCCCTTGCTTTAGTGCTAAAATGTTCTGCCACTTAATACTGCTGTAGGCGATGTGATATAAATCAGCTCATCCCCCAGACATCATACGCAAGATGTATTGTGCTCTGATCAGGCCACACCCTAAGTACTGCTTACCGTTCTGGCCACCGTGACACAAGGGGACTGCCCAAGCCTCAGAGGCCATGCAGAAAAGAAATGATCGTCAGGAATAAGCTGTGACCCATGACTAGATAAGCTGGGGCACTCCAATCTTCCAAGTAGATGTCTCAGGGGAAATTTTATTGAGGTTGTTTGGCATCCAACTCCATCCCTGTAAAGCACTCCGAGATGTTGCCCTCTAAAGTGCTGTGTATAAGATTATAAATGGGATTCAGAAAGTAAACTCAGAGTAACATTTTCAGATGCTCTGAGGCAGCAGGACAAGAGGACACAAAAGGGCAGAGTTGCAAAGGGCAATTTCAGGACAGACATCCAGGAAGTATCTCTTTATCCGGAGGGTAATTAACAACTGGGGTCCTAGGAAGTGTGGTGAGGCAAGGCCACTAAACTCATTTCATTAAAAACTCATTGCTATAATGGGAGGTCAATAGTGTAGGTGGTCTTTAAGAATGAGATCAAATGGGCTGAAGAGTCTTTGTCAAATCCTTGACTGTCCAGCACATTGGGATGTCTCCAGGCATAAAAGGCGCAATACAAATGTAATTTGTTTTGTTGTCATCTGAAGTGACAAAGTGAAGAGGTCTATTTCACACTTCCATCTGCTAATTGCACTGGCGAGCACTGTGAAAGGTCCTACAGTTAATATTAGGAATTGTGAGAGGTTCTAGCGATCCCAAATATATCACAGTATTCTAATTTAACACAGGTCTTTGCATAATGTCAAATTCAATTTCTCCAAACTATGCATCTGCATTAATTCTGTTTCTTTATTGCATCAGTTCCCAGACCTAGAAGTCTCCTGTTAATTGCATTTTGTTGTTTGTTAATTTACAGAGCTATTAATTCTCTGGAGTTCAGAGAAGCCAAATGGAGCCAGACAGCAGATAACAGACTGTGAAACAGAACAAGGAGATCAGTGGCCAGTTTAACAGCACTGCCTGGCAGAGCACCACTTGGACACGTTCCACGCCAGGGCGTTGCATCGGCAAATCCGCAGTGAAGTGAAACAGTTCTCCATCCCCCTGTGCTCAGAGTCTTCGTAGTCTGTGAGTCCACCTCAGCCATCCATCCATGTGCAGCTCCCTTGGAACATGGGATCACAACAGGTGTAACCCCCTCTATCATCACTGTCTGGCACATCATAAATATCATTAATAATGATACAAAATCAGCTCTTTAAAGGTTTGTTTGCCACAATTTCACATTGGAACATCAACACAAAACAAAAGGAAATGAAACTTGGCTGTTGCCAACCTGCGCCCAATACTTTTGGAAAATAGGTAAGCAGGACTCGTCCCTCCAGGGAGAGAGGGGACATTTCATTCCAACAATCTATCTCTGGAATTTCCATAAGAAGGTGG